GCTCGAAGAGCTTGCGCTACCAGCGCTCCAACCAGGTCGCGCCGACCTGAAGTTGTGCTCGGCATTCAATGCCACATCCACCGCCTCTTCAAAAGAGTTAGGGTGTACACGGAACACTTCCGTTCGAGCTGCGCTCACACGAAGTCCCTCCATGAACACGGTCACGCTGACCAGTTCCGGAAGAGGGTCCGCCCGCCATTCCGGCGATAAGAGTTCTCAACTCTTGGACATAGTCCAATAAATCCTTCTTACCCTGGCGGGTAGCAAGGAACTTTGACCGGATACGGTACGCCTGATTAGGCGGCGCGAACACGCGCGAAAGCTGTTGCTTCAGCTGATCCCAAGTGGGAAATGCAGCGTCAACAGACGTGCCGCACGTTAGTGCCCATTCGCGAGCGCGACCTCCAAGCCTGGAGATAGCCAGCGCCACGCGCTGATGCTCAGACTGGAGCAGGGACGATCCCATGGCCATCTCGACCTCACGGGTCCAGAGAAGGAGATTCTCTCCATCCTTCCCCTCGAAGGTTTTTACGCTCACCATGAGCGGTTTCAGTCTCATAGACTCTTCACGCGTCATCGACGCCGCCGCCGTTGCGGCGCTCATCTTCTCTTGGACATGCTCCAAGAGCGCGTTCTCGTAGCGGGAGAACGATTCCAGCCTGGCAGTGACCGCCTCTGGACCTTGCGATGCAAGATGAGCCACGCCCTCCGGGCCAAGCAAGGACATAAGCTTAGTAAGCGCGTCCTGCTGCGCCGGGGGCAAATTCGCGAACACGGGGTCTTCCATCCTCGCAGGGGATATAGTCAACCGACTCAGGAGCGGGATTGACTACAAGTGCTACCAAGTGCAGCGGGACTGCCGTAGCTTTAGCGTCAGAGGAAGACGTTCGACTCAAAGAGTCACTAATACTAAGTTCCTTATCCAAAGGACACTTACAGCCCAAGACCAGGGCTCAAAGTTAACACCTTAACTTTTATGCTTCAAAACCAGAAGTGTTTTATTTACTATTATTGCGGCCAAGCCGCCTAGGGGTAAATGTATCTCTTTAACTATCTAGCATAGTTAAACCTAATCAAATGCATAACGTGTGGCTTTCAGCCAACGTACTGAGAGACCTTGTTAACTCTCCAACTTATGTACTGAGAGTTTGTTAACTCTCCGGGTACTTCGTACCCCTGTGTGCTCCACACCATGTAACCCCGTTAAAAACATAGTACTTCGTGCGGCAACAGGTAAACGACTAGTGAGCCCTCAGAAGGTGGAAGATATTGAGAAGCAAGTGGCCTATCACCTTGGCAAGTTGAAGCGTGGGTTTGAGAGCGGTTTGTATGACGAGAATGCGATTGAAAACATCGATGAAACTCATTTCGTTGTAGATTTTGACAACGGCAAGGCTCTCGGTTTTGGAGGCGAAAACCAGGTCAAATATGCGGATGTTGTATCCGGAGGGGATGGAATGACAATGGTCGTGCGAATCAGCGGTGGGCCAAGTGCACGTATCTTGCCCCCGATGATGATTTTTACGAACGCAGACCGTAGTTATCCAATTCGTGGAGTTAAGGATGACGTGGAAGGAGTGTGTTATCGTACGGGGCCGAAGGGCTGGATGGACAAACGTCTCTTTCGCGAGTATCTGAAAGAGCCTCGAGCTCAAAAGCCGGATCGCTTAGGTCGCAAGAAGACTATATTCCTCGATAACTGCTCAAGTCACCTCGAGGAAGACGAGTGTACTGAAGAGCTTCAGAAGTTAAACGCTTCTTTAGCCTTCTTTCCAGCAAACGCAACGGATCTCTGTCAGCCGGCGGACTCATTCGTTATCGCAAAGATAAAGGACGAGTGGCGTCGAATGTGGAATGAGAAAAAGATCGAGTTGATTGAGGAGGAGGCATGGCAAAACAAAAAGAGGTCCGATGGAACCTGGTCAGGAAAACTTAAGAATCCAGGAAATCATTTTTTTCTGTCCCTGGCTGCTAAAGCAGTACGCCAAGTCAACTCTCAAAGGGACAAGAATAATGTGAACTACGCTCGGAAAGCCATGATTCGATGCGGACTCTCGCTGGATGTTGATGGTGTATGGAGAACTGAACAGCTATTCAGCCACCTTCAAGTAATCATCAAGAAGTTCCCAGATCAATTTGCTGGACAAGCGGTTCCATTGGATATGGCAAACAAACACACAAAAAACAAAAGAATAACCAGACCAGCTTCTCAACAATCGTAAACTAGTGTGACTAATTAGGGTGAGACATTAATTAGTCTAAGTGTGACTAATTCTACCACACCTTAAATAGTCAGAGTGCATAATTAACCACACTCATACTAATTTAGGTGAGCAGAGTCTGCAGCACCTCACATAAATTAGTATGAGTGAGACTAAATACCGTAGCTACTGTACTGGGCAGCGATGATATGTGCGACTGACTGGTTTGTGGGCCACACTATTGGCTATTATTGCAGGAACAGAAATATAAACGGTCACTTCAGTAATTGTTCAGCGTACAGGATTGGTTCAATCGCTTCCGACGAGTCCCCCTAAACGCTGGCTATAAATGTAATAATGGGCTGTGTTTACTGTGATAGGAAGACTGGAGGGAAGCGGGCTGCTGGGGGGATAGTAATGCCCATACATTCGCAAAAAAGGCTGACGGCATTATCTATCGGTATGGAGGGTCTGGGCGTCGTGTACGAGCAGGAGGAGCCCGCGGCGGACAGTCAGCAGACACCCACGGGGGACATCCAGGCGACAGCGGTGTCTGTGCCAAGCCACGAGGCTGAAGACGACGAGGAGATCCGCGCGCTGGCCGGCAATCCGGACGATCTGGACGTGCAACCGCAGATTCAGCACCAGCACCAGTCTCAGCCTCAGCTCAACGCACCTAGTGGATATGGGGACTATGCGCAGAGCAGCGGTCAACACCCGCAGCAGCAGATGGAGCAGCACCATGGCTACGACAAGAACGGAAGTAGCACGCACCCAGGCAAGCTTTTTATCGGCGGCGTATCGTGGGAGACCACGGAAGACACATTGCGCCAACACTTTGGCAAGTATGGCGCGCTCACGGATGCTGCACTGATGAAGGACAAGTACACTGGTCAGCCACGGGGCTTCGGCTTCGTGACATTCGCAGATGCGACAGGTTCGAAAAAGAGGCTCGCGTGCAGATATTTTATTGAATTGTAGTGCTGACGCTGGACTGCAATTGCTGCAGCGATCGACCGCGTATTGGACGAGACGCACACGCTAGACGGTCGGTCAGTGGAGGTGAAACGCGCGATTCCAAGGGAGCGAACGGCACCAGGCTCGAGGTTAGTATCATCACAATTCGCGCAGCAGAAGACACGAGGCTGGCTGCTGGCTGGACTATGTATCTATTTATGGGAGAGAGAAGAAAGCAAAAAGAGAGAATCAGACAGAGAAGGGCAGGAAGGAAGGCAGGGAGAGAGCAAGCAGCAAAGGACAAGAGAAATCACCTACTCAACATGAACGAAGCGTTTGCTCGCCTCTTTGTGGCCCATCGTGCTCGACCCTCGCTGTCTCCGTCCAGCCCTTCTTCATCTGGAGGGGCTTTGGCGTAGATGTTAGACTGTGTAGCAGCAAGCAAGCAAACAGGGAAAGTGACCAGGCGGCGTAAACTAACTTACCGTATTCCTGCCTCATGTAATGTAGTATTGATTTCCGCGGCGGACGCGGCGGATACAGCAGCGGTGGTTTTACGGAACAGAAGAAAATCTTTGTGGGAGGCCTCGCCCCCACCGTAACAGAGCAGGACTTCCGCCACTACTTCGAAGAGTTTGGTAAGATCACGGACGCTGTCGTGATGATCGACCGTGACACTCAGCGCTCTCGCGGATTTGGCTTTATCACGTTCGAGGAGGAGGTGCGTTGGAGTATCATCGCATTAAAGCCTGCGCCTACTTGAGCTCATATATTGGTCATGTGTTCCTTTTCAGTCGTCGGTGGCCGAAGTGATCAGTAAGAACCACGAAATTCACGGCAAGACCGTCGAGATCAAGCGTGCTGAGCCTAAGGAAGCCCGTGGTGGCGGTGGCGGCTATGGTGGCGGCCGTGGGGGTCGAGGAGGCGGCTGGCGAGGTGGAGGAGGTCGTGGAGGCGGCGGCGGTAGCTATGGCGGTGGCTACGGTGGCTACGGTGGAGGCTACGGCGGTGGCTATGGCGGCGGCTATGGCGGCGGCTATGGAGGTGGCTACGGCACTGCTGCTGCTGCTGCATACGGCACTGCTGGCTATGGAGGTTACCCACAGTCATACGCCGGTTATGGCTATGGTAGCTATGGAGGCCGTGGTGGTTACGGTTATGGTGGCTATGGAGGCTACGGCGGCTATGGTGCTGGAGCTGGAGCTGGCGGTGCTGGAGGCGAAGGTGCCGGTCAGGAAGGCGGTGCAGGTGGAGAAGAAGGCGGATATGGCGAAGATGGAGCCCAGCAAGGTGGCCAGGGTGGCCAAGGCGGCCAGGGAGGAGCTGCTGGCGGCTACGGGTATGGAGGTGGCTACCGTCAGGGCGGAGGAGGCTCCGGCGGTGCTCAGGGAGGTTCTGGGGGCCGATCGGATCGATACCGCCCGTACTAAGCATTCACGCGACAAGAAAACGAAGACGGGGGGGGTCGATTCGCGCTTCGCAAAGATGGGCCTGTAAATCTGCAACCTATCCACATCTCGGCTAGGCTGTGCGTGGTTGTCGTCTGCATCACCCCCCTTGACTTCGACTTTTCCAGCTTGTACTTGCTGCTATCGAATCAATTTTTTTTGAATAACTTCCGCATGTTAAACTATTTCTACCGGTAAGACATCCGCAAGTATGAAATGAATTTTGTTTTTTCTCTGCAATGTACCTCGAAGTACTACAGTACTATAGTAGTACTTTTTCAGTAGTACAATACTACTTAAAAAAAAACTAAAAACAATTCTTTAATAACAACTCCGCTCTGATTGGCTATTATTATCGATAATATCCTCTAAAAAAAGACGAGCAGCGACGACCATGGCAGGCTTCCCCCCGCAGCAACCGCCGATGCAAGACCCAGCAAATCCCAATGGGACCGCCGCGCCGAGGGCTTCCCCATTCTCGTCTGGGTAGCTTGCTCCTCGCTCTACTTTGCTAAAATGCATGTACTCACATGCCCACTGATAATCTCTGTAACTTAGACCGGTTGCGATGGTAAATCAGGTTCGGCCTGGGTTTGGCGGCCCCGGCCAATTTCCAGGTGGGTTTTGATTCTTTGCTGTAGGTCCAAGGATTTTATTTGTTCATCTTATAATTGCGTGCGCTGCTCAGGTAACGCTGTTCGCACTGCCCCAACGCAACTGTCCACACCGTTGGTTCCGCAGCGTTATGTGTCGGCGTCGATGGCCAGCGCTTCTTTCGATCCCTCGTCGTCACTCTTTAGTGACAGACCTACTGTCCAGCCCGACGCGGCCAGTGATTTGTTTGGTCAAGCCGCACCGTCACCAGATCTAGCTGCGGCTGACCTTTTCGGGCAAGCCTCACCAGCATCTTCCCAACGGTATCGATCCGGCACCGATCCTTTTGGTAGCCCTTCTGGGTCACTTCAGACGCAGCAGAGGCATCATGAACCGAGCGGTGTTGGCGGAACACTGTCTGAAGAGTTATTCGGCCCGGCTTCTGCTCCAAGGCAGTCAAGCCAACGGGAAAATTACGAAAGCTTATTTCGCAGTCCAGAAAAAGCGTCGACGGCGGCTGCCCCCATACTTTCACGACATTCTTCGTTGAGTTCCTCTCAGAGCCCCACACCCTCGCCATTTAGCAAATCCCTGCCCCCTCCTTCTCATCCCCGAGTGAACCAACAACACTCGCCGTTCCAACAGCTACAGCAGCAGCAGCCATCCTCACGGTCGTTTGGACAAGCGCCACCTCCAGCTGCACCATTTTTGGGCTATGCGGACAACACTCGGTCGCAGTCTTTTCGTGTTCCTTCAGCACAACCATCTACCCCAGGGTCGCTGTTCCCCGATGCACGTAAAAACTCCTCCCCGGCAAGATCGGGTCCTACTGCGTCGCCAGCACCTCCTCCGTATCTACCACAAATCACGGTTGAAGCTCCATCCCCAGACGAGCTGGTCGATGAGTTTTTGAGAATGCCGGTTGACGAACGCTTCACAGGATCTGAGAATGCAACGCCTCCCGCTAGCAAATTGCTTCTTGCAGATATTCCGGATACGGTAGAAGGGCTAAAAGCGTTGTATACACAGAAGCGGTGGAAGTCTTTGACTAAAAAGTCATTGTCGATGCTGCAGAACCCCCCAAAGGATAGTAACGTGACGCTGGAAATCAAGTCTTGGTGGCTTGCCGGGCTCATCAAAGAGGGTCACTACGACAATGCCGCGAGTGTACTGGACCAAATTGGTAATCTTGACGAGATATCTGTGGTAGGTGGGGGCGCTCCATTTGTGCCTATTCGCCTGCTTCTCCTCCAAGCGCTTCTGAACAAGTGCCAAGGAAAATCTTTGAACCACGAGAAGCAGCTATTTCACCTGATAACGCGTCTGCGAGGTGCAATTCAGCAAAACGAGACGATTGCACTCCTGGATGTTGATCTCAAAATGGCCGCACAATGGCTACGAATCGCACAATTTGCTCTTGCAAACCACCTCGTGCACCATCAAAAGTTCATGCTGGCTTTGCGTATCTGCTCTCAGATTGATGTACGTGTCGTGCAGGTAGGAGATCTCTCTCTTGTTGAACAGTTAATTCACGGTGCTGTCTGTCTTACTCTAGATTGACTACTTGGAGGGCCCAGAAAGAGTTGTAGTGCTGTCTCGTGTGGGGCGTATCCGTCTACAAATGGGCGATCTAACGGCCGCAGAGAAGTTGTTCGAAGCCGCTCGCTATCACGCCAATCAACTGAAGACAGAAAGTGGCATTGGTGTAACGGCTGAAGTGCTGGGAGAATTGGAAGCTCGTGTGTTATTGAACGACGGTCTGTTATTCTTCGCACAAAACAAGCTGCAGGAAGCGCTTAGTGCGTTCGACTCTATTCTATATTTACAGAACACGCAAAGCGCGACTGTCGAGAATTCCGATGCTGAGCTTTTCCTCGAGGAAGATGTTGTTTGCTCTGCAGTCAACAACTACGCCATCTGTGCACTTTACTGTTGCGACGTCAAGGCGGCTGTGGCTGCTCTGGAGCGGATGATCAGGTCAAACCCAAAGCGATTTCTCAATGGTGTGGTTGTGTTCAATCTTAGTTCGCTTTACGATCTTTTGTTTGACAACGCCACGAGCAAAAGCCGAAAAGAAATGATGAAGAAGATCGCTTACTTGTACGACCTCGAGCATGTCGATCCGGCCACATACCGCATTTAATAAAGGGCACTTTGCTTACAACTTTTGTTTTTTTGTTGTTTCCGTGCTGTCATCGCTGACATTGGGCTCGCCGTCGTCATCGTCGAAGTGAAGATGACCACTACCTGCCGCTGGCCTCCGGCGCTTCATTTTATTCTTTCCAATGGTCTTCACCGGGTCACCACTGGCAGTAGTAGAGTCGTCTGGCCCACTAGCGTCGTCGGCCTTATCGCTAGTACTGTCCTTTACTACATCTGCGTATGCAGTAGATAACTGGCGCTTTAACTGCTCCTTCATCTCGGTCCAGCGGGCCTTGCTCATGACACGAATTCCGCGTAGATCAGCATCTGAAGAGGTGGCAGCAGCGTTGTTGGCAGCACCTCGTTCGGAGAACTCCACAAAGCCAAACCCCTTAAACTTTTTGCTCTGGGCGAATCTCGGCAGACTCACCAAGTTGACCTTGCCGAACTTAGCGAAGGTTCGTCGCAGCGAATCGTGTTCATCTGCTGCGCTGAAGCTGTCAATGTAGATAGTGCGAGCGTCTGCAATTGCAATAAGTAGAGTCAGGTGTGCACGTTGTCTAAAGCATCGCTCATTGATCTTAATTTAGCCGCGTACCGGCTTCGTGGTCCTGGCCGACCTGCGGCACAACCTTTGGGGCGATGCAACAGCGCGCACGATCAACTCGAATCGTGGACGACTTGTCAGCCTCATCCAGAATCATGCGCTCCGTCGCCTTAAGCGATTTCAATCTATATACGCAATGGGTTGTATCAGTTGTTTGCCGAGTGCACACGAAGCCATGCATTGCGTGACATACTTGTTGAAGGACAGGAACTCCCGCACGGGCACGAAGCCCTGTGCGTCCATGGCTTGCTGCAGGAACTTGTCCTGGCGGAGATTGCTCTCGCTTAGGTAAAACTCCAGCTGCCGCTGTAGCCGCTTACGTTGCGACTTGCCTGTAGCCTTCCCCTCCATCGCGCGATGATAGATAAACGGATAGCGTAACTCGGGTACAGTTACACAATAGATCGGAGCGCCGTCGTCGACACTCGGAGATTGAGTCACTCGTAGCCAAGTACATGTAGTACATGTAGCACCGAAACAGATGGTTAGATCAAGCGACCAAGCAATTGTAGGCGTTGGATAGTCCGCCCTCGATCGCTCCGATCGCTGTGTTGTGCGCCCCCTCGTTCGTCAAAAGATGCATGAGCGCAAGAGATGCATTGGCAGACATGACGTCCGTCGAGGAGTTACGTTCAGTGCGCTAGTCAGTGGCTATTGCTAGCAAAATGTTAGTATCGAGCTATCATACTAGTACCAGCAGCTGATGCAGCATTTATTATAGATGACGACGGAAGGAGACATGCTTCAACGTCGCAAATTGTCTCCATCCTCGAGTCGAAAGAAGCTTCACACCTGGGTAACTATCGGCTACTTGAAGAAACGGCTAGAGAGCGAGTGCGGGACATACAAACTTCAAGTTGTTCTAAAAAAATAAGTCGGTTGGGTTGTCTGTTGGAAGATCCAAGAATAGGATCAGAGAAGCCGCTAAGTAGCGCTCACATTTTAATAAAAGAGAGCGGAAGCGACCTAACGCGCAGCACATCCAAACCTGCCACCTCCCACTCTCGACTTCCTCCCTCACGAAGCACACTCCGAGGCACGACAATATGTTCGACGACCTATTCAAGCTGCTGCGCAGCCCACGCTGGGTCAACTCGCCCATCGCGCGCCGCTTCGGCTTCGGCGCCGAGCTGTCCTACGAGGAAGACGGACTGGGTAAGTCTGTAGCGCTTGAATATGACCCGTACGACCAGCCCGCTGACTTCAGCTACTATTTGCAGAGGATGCACCGTCGAACTGGACCAAGATCTCCACATCCGGCCACCGCCCGCCGGTGCGAAGCGGTCACTCGTCTCTAGTTGGTGCGTCGACTGCTTTCAGCGACTTGCCCAGACGCTGTATGCTAACGATAGTCTATGCTGTGTCACAGTTGACGACATGATGTACGTCTTTGGCGGCTACAACGACGGCAACTGTCACAATGACATCTATGCGTTCGACCTGGTGCGGCACCACTGGCTTCGCATCGAGACCTCCAACGGCATATCGCCAGGTACGACGGCTAGTAGTATGCTTTTACGCTGTTTACAGATCGATTGACTCTTTTTGTATGATCCTGGTATTTCTGGTAGACGGTCGCGCCTCACACGCCTTTTGTGCTTCTACTGACAATACGAAGCTTTACCTGTTTGGTGGATCAGGGCCGCACTGGGGGCAAACCAACATGGGTAAATTGTTGCAATTCAACATTCGCGATAAGAACTGGACAATTGTCGAGGCGGAGGGTACGCAACCGCCACCAGGATACGGACAGAGTTTGTGTGCGATCAACAACAAGCTATATCTTTTTGGCGGTACCTCCGGGCATGTGTACGTGAACGATTTGTACGTCTTTGATGAAGTTACCAAGATCTGGAGGAAGGAAGAGACCATCGGCAAGCGCCCCAGTCCACGATACAAGCATCAAGTGGCTATGGTCGGAAATCGCATGTACGTTGTGGGCGGTGGTCTATACGATCCTCCAAAAGGACCCATCGACACGTACTACCTTGACGTAGACACACTTGAATGGCATGAAGTGGAATGCGGTGGTGATATACCAAAGTCTCGGATCGCTCACACGATCTCACAACTGTCCAGTGACCCTTCACGGCTTATCATGTTTGGAGGACGTGATGACAGCGGATCGCGGCAAAATGAGCTGAGCGAGCTGAATTTGTGGACTGGTGAGTGGCGAATTTACTACAACGAGGAGGGATTTCAGCCGGACGCTCGTGATTTTCATACGAGCGTGGTTCACAATCATCGCATCTTCGTGTTTGGTGGTTCCAACGGCGTGGAGCGGAACAATGATGTATTTCGCTACACAATGACTCACCAGCCGTCGACGCTGTTGATCCTAGCCATGCAGGTTGTACACCAGAATTTGGACTACATTCCAAAGGAGGATTTAGAAGCGCTGCCATTTGAGCTGAAAACTGGCGTCCGAAATATTAACCCCGACGTGGAATGTTCCTCCAACCCGACCTGGTATGTGCTTGAAGAACAGAAGGAAAATAACGCTGCACCAGTGATGTAGAAGATTTCTCATGCGGATAGATTGTACGTTATTGAAGCAAGATAAATAATTATTCGACTTTATGAAATAACACCAAAACGATTAGATTCATTCATCCGAATCCGTCACCCCGCCTTCGTAAAGCTGAATAGAGCACTCGGCTTCGGGCATACACGGACTATCGATGACCTTGCTGGACAAAACCACGTTAAAAAAACGAGTTTAGTCAAAGTCGCCGAAAGACACGAGCTACGCGAACGGCATCATTGCGATTCATCCATACCAGATACGATTCTCTGCCCGCCCTTTCTTCATCTGCAATGCATCGTTAAAGTTTGATGGGTAGAATCGTTCTTCGTGGCATTTCAACGATTAGCTTACCAGCACACGCGTGTGAACTCCGTGCGACATCACGTGGCCACCAACAGGCTTCATCTCTGAGCCAAACAGAACGTTTGCTACGGGATCGGCCATAACTTGGTTGACCACAAGAACCGCGATGTTGAATTCCTACAGCGAGTTATCAGTCTGTTGTGGCATTTCATAATGTTGCGAGCTCAAAACTTTCAGTTTCGATAGCATACCTCTGCGTGCTTTACAAGCCGAGCAAGATGCTGGTTCAGCCGCTGTTGTCTTTCACTAAGCTCGCCTCTTTTCATCGTATGTGTGATTCATTTATGCAGACAAAAACCGTAGGTTCCAGAAATGAACCTACCTCCCAGAGAAATCCGTACGAAATAACGCAGTTACCGAGTCGATGATCAGTAGGCGAAATGGTCCCTGGTCAGGATCCTGTGCGAGGAAAATGCGGTGAGGCTAAAGCCATTCGTGTATGTCCCTCAGCAATGTGTACCGCGAACAAAACGCCTAGCTTGACCACGAGGTCCATCTGAGCGTCGTGGCTGTGAGCCCTACACTCGTAGTTAGCATTTCCTCTTAATGCCTATTGTCGAAATTTCTTACCTCGCCACGATGATGTTATCAAGGACGTCCTCAGGGTCCTAGGTTCACTTCTGTAAGATGTGATGATGAGCGCAAACACAGTAATTCACCCGTTAATGTACCAGATTGTATCGTATTTTGGCGATTTCAGCAACGCGATTCTACCAGTCATCATGATACATTGGTCACTCGGAAAGCATAGAGACAAGCACGTTAGACACACCGGTCGAAATGTTCCCTCGGTATCGACGAAGGCGACTTTTCCTGTTCAATGTTTCACATTTTAGGATAAGCGCTTGCTGCGGTCACATGCATCGGTCATACCGGCTCCTCCTCCCCGAGAGCGAGGTAACTGCGATGTCACACAGAGCTACATGTAGAAGAAACATAAGCGATCAATGAAATTACCTTACTATTAATAGCACTGAAGCAGGAAGGTTCTTACAGTGTGGCACAACTGGGTTTTACCTGTTCGGAACTCTCCATGGACCTGTGAAACAAAACAGCTTAGCTCTCCCAAATACGAAGCGCTCGCAACTTATTAGAGCTTCATTGTTTACCTCAGTTACAGACATTGTTTCTAAACCTCCTCCAAGGATTTGGTCAAGCTCTGTTAGCAGCAGTTGTTTCGTTAAAAAAAAAACAGCGCCAGAAGAAAATCATACTTACGCTGTGACCCAGTGGTGATAAATATCCTGCTTTGACTCTGTTGATAGAGTGAGCTGGCCGATACAAATCCGCTCTTCTCAGGCATCATCTGTGGTTCAACAAGTACTGATACATTATCTCGCGTTCATGACCACCTTCTGCGTGAGCATGAAACACCTTTTTGCCTGCATGAAGAAGCTATCACTCGACGTGTCAAGGTAAGGGATCTCCTACAGCATGACATAGTACATGTAGTGACATGCAATACCTTGACCCTCTTGGCTTCGCTGATCCCCTTCACGTCTAATAGCCTTTTGTGGGACACTTGAAAGAGCTGGCCGATGGTTGCAAAGCCACCGTTCTTGAGCTTAGCGATGTCTGTCGTTTTAATGCCAGCATCTCGAAGCAGGTCGATAGGCTCATACGAGCGCAAGCTGTCATCCTCTTCGTCGTCGCGGTCGATGACGCGCGGTGCCGCAACCATTTGCTGCTCTGATTCCCTTGCTTTAAGCTCGCTGCATACGACTTGTGGCTCAGTCATCGCTTCATCGACATTCCCCATTCTGCCTGCCCACACTGTACCTCTGTGAGATGCCCATGGAATCTGTTGTGTCGGTCTTGCTTCTTTTGTGCTTGTCCACGTCAATTCGAAAGTGAGTGCGGACATGAGTGCGGAACAGAGTGATTGTCACGGAAACGTGTATAGTTGAAGTGCTGTATAGTTGAAATAGATAGGTTTCACTATACGCTGTCAGTTGTCCAGCGGCGAAGGCATGGTGATGCATCTATGCCCCAAAGGATTAGATCTCTAATAATACCTTCCGCCACGCTGCATGTGGAGATCCACAATTCTCCAGCGGAGGGTCTCCTGTTCCTCGTCGTAGTCGCGCTGGAAGGCAAAGATGTAGTAGTAGGCTAGCACCTCGTCCTCGGATCCTTCCACAACTTCTCCCTCACGATTGCGGATGCAGTTGATCTGCTGCGCCTGGAACCGCATCAGAATAATCGGGGCCTGTTTGTCTTCAGCCTAAATAGCAGCGTATTATTAGTGCATAATACATCACCACAATACCAAGCATAAAGCTCTTCGTACCGTCGCCTCAATAACTTCTACGTTGTCGATGCTGAGCACGTGCGGGTCCATTACCAGGCCCTCCGACTTTCGCTCACGGATAGCGATGTTCATACGCGAGTACGCAGCCTCACCGAACCACTTCTTCAAGTCACGGCTGTTGCCACGCAAGAATGCCTCCAGCACGCCAGGCAAAACAACCTCCTCAATGTTCTCCTTCCATTCCTCCAATATAAAGTCAGGTTCAGCGCGACGGATCTCCTTAATCGCAACAGCCATCGGTGTTTCACCAAAAAGACCGTCATAGATTGAAGACAATCGGTACACCCACGGGTTTTGACTGGTTTCCCAAACCTCCAAGACCTCTTCCTGGGCGTCACTGATCTTATCCTTAACCTGCTTCGTCGTCTGCTGCACCTTTTTTCCGGCCTCTGTCTTAGCTGCCTGCTTTGCAGCATCTAGAATACCCTGAATAATCGGGGCCTCACGGAAGCGAGCGCTGACACGCTGCCAGGCACTCTCCTCCTCTTTCACCGCCACCAAAGCACTGGTGCCAGTGTACTCCGTAGGTTCCTCGTCCTCGGATTTCTTCGGTTTCTGCACGGACGGTGTTCGTACAGAGGCCAGTGCCTCGTCAACTGTCTGCTTTTCCCGCTTACCAAAAAGCTCCTGTGCGGCATCCTTCCACTCGTCGCGCAGCTTCGGGAATTTGCTTGGGTGGATGAGCTTGTTCTTCTGGGCGGTAATGCTGGCAATGAAGTTCTTCACAAAAGCACGTGCGCCCTCCACAGCTTCATCTGTCTCTTCAGGTATCTATCACAAAACTCAAAGCATTAGAGCGGAAATGCCACCGCAAAACCAATAGATACAAGCACTTTCAACCACACCTCGCCTCCTTTCGTCTTGCCTTCATCTTTTTTAGCATCATCAGCTGCAAAAGTATCCGCTGTATCCGCCGCATTTGCGTCCTCCTTATCCTTCTTGGCATCGGCTGCGACCTTGGTAGTCTCCTCGTAAGACTCCTTGATTTTCTGAGAAGCCTGTAAGGCTTGCTCCTGGAAGCTCTTTGCCGCCTCTTCGGTCATGGAGCTCACCTCGCTCATCTTTTCCTTAGCGGCCTTTTCCACGTTTTTAAACTGTTCTTTGGTCTTCTCCAGCTCCTCAAAAGATTTCTTGAGCTCCTCATTTTTCTCCATCTCATTCTTAAGCTGGTTTTTCAAGTCCAAAAAGAAACCCGTGGTACGCGTCTGGGACTGCAGATGATTCGCCAAACGTGGGAGTACATTTTGACTGTCGCGAGACACAGTGAGGCGCGCGCGGCGCAGGGCACGCGTTGAGAGGCGAAGCATCGGTGCAGCGAGGGCGGAGCTGGATGTGCGGTGAGTAGCCAGAAATCGGACATAGACGGAGTACCTGTTCTTAGCCAATCCCTGAATGTCTTTTGACACGCCGCGTCCCCACCAGCCAAAACTCGCTGACGAGCTTGGCAACAAGCTTTCCGGTTTTGCGGGGTTTCGCTTCCAGGTGACTTGTGAAACGTCACACTCGATTGGTTGGCGCAAGTTGGCAAAATGGGCAAGAAGGCGCGACGCAAATCAACGACCTCTTCGGAGGAAAAGGATGTAAACGCCAAGGAGGTCGCTGCTGCTGTGGCGATACCGCAGGTAGAAACTGCCGTTGCTGCTAGTGATGAGAAACCAAAGAAGAAAAAATCGAAGAAGGGTAAAAAGGAGGAGGAGACGAAGTCTACCGAGACTGTGAAGCAGGAAGAGGAGCCCGTGGAGGCGAATGTAGGCGACGAGCAGGACGAAGAGACGGAACAGGCCATCGCTGAGGCCACCAACCTCGCCGAGAGCACTGTGGACGAGCGATATTTCTCTAGCGAGGAGTTTGCCTCGCTGCCGCTGTCCGAGCCAACCCGCAAGGCTCTGGTCGACATGGGATTTACCAAAATGACCAAGATCCAGTCCAAGTCGATCCGTCCACTGCTTGCAGGCCAGGATCTGCTAGGTGCGGCCAAGACGGGTTCTGGTAAGACGCTGTCATTCCTGATTCCGGCGGTCGAGCTGCTGCACAAGGTGCGCTTCACGGCGCGCAAGGGTACGGGCTGCATTGTCATCTCGCCTACGCGTGAACTGGCGCTTCAGATTTACGGTGTCGTGCGCGATATTTGCAAGTATCACTCGCAGACACACGGTATTGTCATGGGTGGTGCCAATCGCCGCGCCGAGGCGGAGCGTCTGGTGAAGGGTGTGAACATTCTGATCTCAACTCCAGGACGTCTGCTTGATCATCTGCAGAACACGAAGGCGTTCATTTACCACAACCTGCAGATTCTCGTGATTGATGAGGCTGACCGTATTCTGTCCATTGGTTTCGAGGAGGAAATGCGCCAGATTATCAAGTGCATCCCGAAAGAGCGCCAAACCATGCTGTTTAGTGCAACACAAACGAAAAAGGTTGAAGACCTTGCTCGTTTGTCCATCAAGGAGAAGCCCGTGTACGTCGGAGTTGAAGAGGAGGACACGAAGGCGACGGTTGCCACCCTGGAGCAGGGCTACGTCGTGACCCCGAGTGACAAGCGTTTCCTTTTGCTGTTCACGTTCCTCAAAAAGAACTTGAAGAAAAAGGTGATGGTTTTCTTCTCGTCGTGTAGTGCCGTCAAGTTTTACGGCGAGTTGCTCAACTACATTGACATTCCCGTGTTGGATATTCACGGCAAGCAAAAACAAAACAAGCGTACAACTACGTTTTTCCAGTTCTGTAACGCGAAGACAGGTATCCTATTGTGTACGGACGTGGCAGCGCGTGGTCTTGATATCCCGGCAGTGGACTGGATTATTCAGTTCGACCCGCCTGATGATCCTCGCGAATACATCCATCGTGTGGGTCGTACTGCTCGTGGTGCTAAGGGCAAGGGTAAGGCGCTACTTATGCTGTTGCCTGATGAACTCGGCTTCTTGAAGTATCTGAAAGCGTCGAAGGTGGCGCTGAACGAGTACGAATTCCCCGTGTCGAAGATCGCCAATGTTGAATCTCAACTTATGAAGCTTGTAGAGAAGACATACTACCTGCATAAGTCCGCCAAGGATGCTTACCGCGGATACTTGCTGGCGTACGCTTCGCATTCTTTGAAGGGCATTTTCGACGTTGGTCGTCTGGACCTGCAGGGCGTGGCCAAGTCGTTTGGACTCCAAGTTCCACCAAAGGTGACGCTTCCTGTGAAGACGAATGGCAAGACCGGCAAGCGCAAGGGCACGTCCTTCGACAACGATGGCAGCGCGCGAGGTGGCAAGTTCCAACGCTCCGGTCACGCATTTAGTGCCGACAACCCGTACGGCAAGCGTGCTGCGAGTGATAAGCGCCAGTTTGCTCACTGATAAGGTTTGCTGGGTAAACAATGGCTTGGCCACTTCACATCCTTTGTGCAATATAGAGCGAGCTACTACTTACTTATGTTTTGGCGCTTGGGTTTTCTATCGTTAAGGTGGAGAACAGGCTGCGCGTCAGGAGCCCAAACATATACTCTGTGGTTGATCAGTAAGCAGGTTAGCAATTGTGTTCTCGGCTTCTGTTGATCATCGACGACGCCAACTCTCGCGGCGGTCGAAGCCACCAAGAGCAGCACCTCCAAAGCCAAGTTGACCTCCACCTCCTGCCGCGCCTGCGAACCCGTCGTTGCCAGCCAGGCCGAAGCTGCCCATTACTCCTTGACCACCGAGGCCACCGAATGCATTGCCACCTTGCATTCCGAAACCTGTCGGCTGACCGAAGCCACCTCCACCGTTTGCATTCATGCCTCCGCCCATGCCGGCGCCGGGACCACCGAACATGCCACCACCAGGAGCTCCCATCCGATTCACACCGCCGAATCCACTCATCCCGTTTCCGGCAAATCCAGGGTTGTTGCCAACCCCACCACCAAAGGCGCCACCGTTTGCGGGAATTCTACTGCCAGCGCTTGTAGCACCAAGACCGGCTCCGAACGCGTTGCCATTACCGCCGAAGCCTGACGAGGGTGGAGCTCCGCCCATGCCTGCGCCTCCACCTTGAGGTGCGGTGACTGGTGCTGCTGGTAGTTGATCACCAAAAGTTCCTCCATTGGTTGGTGCTGGTGTGGGTCTTGACCTACCATTTGACGTGGCCGCAGGGGTTGGAGCTGGTTGCCCAGTCGGAGTCGTCGGGGCTGGAGTCGCAGATCCAGGGGCGCCCGGCCCCGGTGCGCCAGGAGCACCCGGGCCAACAGCTCCGGGACCAGGAGCTGCAACAGCGTTGCTGTTCGAGCTTACGACAGCATTGTTGGAATTGGCAACCACAGCGGATGGAGCGCTGATGGGAACTGGAATGAACTGCGGTACCTCAACAGCAACAGGTACAGGAATGGCGATCTTCTTGACTTTCTTGACGACTTTGACATGGTGGTGGTGATCCTTCCTGCTTTCATCGTCTTCGGTTGCTTGAACATCGTCTGCGTTGGGTCGTAGCCACGAAGTAGGTGTCGCTTGGACTTCATCCGTGGCAACGAAAAGGCTCAGCGTTAGGAAGGTAGCGAACGCGGCGGCAGTCTTCATGAAGGTGATGGGGTAAGGGAAAGTGGTTGGTCTGTTGCTCGCGAAATGGAAAATGAGTGTGCCTGCTTTGGACGATGTTGTCACCCGTCACGACATTTAGGTCGACCTGAAGACTACAGGGAGTGACCAAAGTGCTGACAAGATGGATCTCTGCCCCTCACTCCGAAGCCTTCTCCGTCAAGGGCGAAGTGAGGTTCGTGATCAAACATGAAAGCCAACGTCCCAAAACAAAAATAATTAGGCGATACCAATACTCGCTACCGCTTCAGCACTCATCAAGAAATTAGATCCCCCCCTTCTTCATCGTCTTGTAGATGGGCGAGCTTGGGCTCACTGTTGTCTTCTGTAGGGAGAATCTCGTCGAGCTCTTGTGCTCCTGCTTACGTCTTCGAGCGCATCTCGTGCGGCGCGACAAAAACCTTCATGAAGCCGCTATCCTTCTTCGCAATACTGGAGTAAGCCTCAGGCATCTCCTCCAAAGCAAGGCGGTGCGAAATAAGCACCGAAGGATCCAGCTCGCCGCTCTCGATCGCATCGAACACCTGAGGATAGTACTTCTGGGCAGGCGTACGACCAGCATTCACGGTGACACTCTTCATCGCGACGTGGCCGATGGGGAACGCTTCCACCGCACACATATAGTCCGACACAATGGAAATATGGCCGCACTTGCGCACGATCATTAGCATTTCTTTGAAAGTGTCCGTAGGCTCAGGCTGCGACTCCATGCCGATCTTCTTCTCGAGCTTGGCCATCCAGCCGGTCGAAGTTGAGCTACCACTTGCATCAATCACAGCGTCAGCACCAGCAGGAGGCAGCATGTGCTGCAGCTTGGACACCACTTGGGCGCTAGACAAGTCGCCACGATCGACCACCTCGAGATTCATGTGATCATGCGCGAACTTGAGCCGGTCTGTGCAGTGCTCAACGCCCAGTATGGTCTTGGCTCCGCGGAGCTTGCACCAGTGAGCAGCTTGCAGCCCAATAGGCCCCAATCCCCAAATGACCACGCAGTCACCTTCCTTGACCTTGGCGGTATCCACCGCGTGTAGCGCAGTGACCGTCGTCTCCACCCCCAACAGAGCCTTATCGTCACTCACACCAGATGGCAGCTTAAAGCAGTTAATGTCGCCAAACGGCACACGGACATATTCGGCCTGCACACCGGGGACATTTCCAAGCATGCGGGTGCTGCCAAGCACGGCAGCGGGAGCCCATCCTCCGTAGGTCTGCTTGAATTCTTGGGATGCATTAGTGCAGTTGCACGACGAGTATTCGTGTCGACGGCAGTGCTTGCAATCACCACAAGCTAGCACGAAGCTGATAGCGACGCGGTCACCGACCTTAACCTTGTTCACTTCTGCACCAACGCTCTCCACGACGCCAACGGCCTCACTGCCAAGCACCTGGTTCTTCTCAAGTCCTGCGGCCTCCCCGCCGCAAACGTCCGTTGCGAAGTCTGGGCTCACAGAGCACGCGGTGACTTTCACCACCACGTCTGTCGCTTCCATGATCTTCGGCTTTGAAATGTGCTCCAGCTTGACCGACTTGCCCGTCCACACCACTGCACGCATGCAGCCGGCCGGGTCCTTGGAGCACGTATCTTGCCCATGCGCATGTGCGCTAGACATCATCTTGCTAGCAGTCTCCATTTCGATTAATTCTTAGTCTCTGGTGCTCTTGTCTTCGTAGCAAATTCAGGTATGAACCTGAGGAGCGTCTTCGCTCATCCATATTACAGCTAAAGCGCTCAAGCCAAAGCGACATGCCAGCTCTCGTCCCATAGCAACCAGTTGAAGGCCCACGATGCGTACTCGCGCCTAGAGATGAGATTGAAAAAGATATTCCACAGAAATGGCCTCAACAGGGACAAGAAGCGAAACGAAAGTGACGTCGTTTCGCAATAAGAACAAAGAGGCTTTATTTATTTTCAGAGGTTTTGTTTTCTAACGGCTTCAACTTGAGAGAACGACAATTTACTTTTGTTGCCAAAATGCGAAGCTGTGGTTCTCGAGAAAAAATCGACGCTTGATCCCTCTCGCAGTCGCCTTCTCTCATTCCACTACTACCCAACGTTCCAAGAATTGCCAACTATGAAGCCTACAGCGATCGCCTTGTTGGCAAGCGTCGCCACTGCAAGCACGGTGGCGGCTACAGCAAACCTGATGCATCGTGATCTTCATGTTGAGACTTCGGACACAAGCGGAATTGTAGTGGGTCTGCACGACGACGAACTTGGCACAAGCGAGGATTTTTGGGGCTCCTGGGAGAATCACTACGCGGGTTACATGGATGACGATGGATTAAACAGCAATGACAGTAATTCTGCAAGTGGGGAGGTCGATTCTACCGTTGGAGACCTACATGCGGCAGCGAAGAAGGTCCTCCAGAAGGCCGAGTCTGTGGTAACGGTGGCGCTGCCGTTCCGTGCTAAACACGCAACGTCGTTTGTACTTCCTCTCGGTCTCGTCGCCGCAGCCATGTTCGTGCTTGTAGTTGCTGCCGTACTAATCGGTGTGCGGCGGCAGCAGCTCAGCGAGCCCGTATTCGGCCCTGTGGAGTTAGTCTCCGATCTTCCGGATCCCATGACCACGTCGGCCGCCAGTGATGCAGGAAGCGACGACTCGGACACGGGTCCGCCAAGCCATGTCGATGAAGTGGACACAGGCGCAACAATCCTAGCTATGGAAGAACACGAGGAAGAGAAAGAGGACGATTCGATTGCTACCCTTGCATAGCAACTATGATACTTCGAAGGACATGTATTATTAATAATGGCTTGCAAACAATTCTAAACCGATCCCATCTTCCATTGTTGGCGAGCTGTTGGTTATCCATCACCGCTACCTGGTGCTGTATTCCTTGTCTATGCGAACCGAAAGTCTCCGGTAATGGGTGGAGCGCTCCAATGATCTGACGTCACACGAATCTCTACACCCACTGATGCATCTGTGTCCGACACCAGGAGTCCCTAGAAGTGCTGCACATCGCGAAAATTTACGAAACTGTACCCTGCGCAACTCTTAATACGACGATTCTTTGGACACAACTCTCCACACACCGCTTCACCAAGCAGCTTTTGTCGTACTTAATCGAACTATTCCTGAAAGATGGGCACTTTGGGCCAATGGTCTGCTTGGGGCAGCGTGGACCGTGAGAGCCCCAAACCGTGATTTCCTAGTTCGCGGCGCAAGCACTCCCCCTCTCCTCGAGACAATTTGAAATGGCTCTCCGTCGCGTCCTCACCACCAGCAAGGCCTTTAAGGCGACCCCGAGCCTTCTGCGCCGCTCCATGGCCACTGTGGCCGACGAGATGACGGTGCGTGACGCCCTCAACACGGCCATGGACGAGGAACTCGCCCGTGACGACGAGGTCTTCCTCATGGGTGAGGAGGTTGCTCAGTACAACGGCGCTTACAAGGTCTCCAAGGGACTGTGGGAGAAGTATGGCGACAAGCGCATCATCGACACGCCTATTACGGAGCAGGGCTTCACGGGTCTAGCCGTCGGTGCTGCCTACCACAACACCAAGCCCATTGTCGAGTTCATGACGTTCAACTTCGCCATGCAGGCCATTGACCAGATCATCAACTCGGCTGCTAAGCAGTACTACATGTCTAATGGCGACATCCACGTGCCCATCGTCTTCCGTGGCTCCAACGGCCCTGCTGCCGGTGTTGGTACGTATCTTTTTCGTTTTTACTTACCAACCTCTACGTGGAAAATTGTGTGGATAGATTCTGACATTGCCTATGTCTTTTCTCAGCTGCCCAGCACTCGCAGTGCTACGCCGCCTGGTACGGCAGTGTGCCTGGCCTTAAGGTGGTCTCCCCGTACGACTCGGAGGACGCCCGTGGTCTGCTTAAGGCCGCCATCCGCGACCCCAACCCGGTCGTTGTGCTGGAGAACGAGCTGTTGTATGGTGTCTCGTTCCCCATTTCGAAGGAGGCCCAGGACAAGGACTTCTTGATTGAGATTGGCAAGGCCAAGATCATGAAGCCGGGTAAGGACGTCACTCTTGTGGCATTCTCCCGCATGGTGGGCGAGGCTCTTGAGGCTGCCGCTGCTCTGGCCAAAGAGGGCATTGATGCCGAGGTGATCAACCTCCGCTCGATCCGCCCGTTCGACCGTCAGGCTATCATTGACTCTGTGAAGAAGACCAACCGCATTGTGTCAATTGAGGAGGGTTGGGGCCAGCACGGCATTGGCGCTGAAATCGCCGGAATTATCATGGAGACGGAGGCCTTCGACTACCTGGATGCCCCTATGGAGCGCGTGACCGGCACCGACGTGCCCATGCCGTACGCTGACAACCTGGAGAAGTTGTGTCTGCCGCACATTGAGGACATTGTTGCTGCCGCTAAGCGCACCGTGGCCCGCAATCTGTAAGCAAAGCACCTCTATAACCATGGACAACGTCGTCATCCTCCATCTCCATTTTACTTCGAGAACCTCGCGCTATGAAGGAAAACAGAGCGAGGGCGGAGCACATGCTCACTCACGACTACGCAGGCAACAAGCATCGTGCGCAAAGGCAGTAAGGAGTGGAGTGATTGACATTAGGAAGGGTGTAATTAATCGAACCCGATAGACCACAACGCATATCCGGTATTCTTTGTAGGTTATAATACTACATGCGTACAGAAGTAGTGGCGATGCTGCGCCTTTAACATCATTCGTGCCTGGACAAAAAAAGCGAAGCTGGAGTTGGGGCTTCTCGGATGATGAGTGCGTGTGAAAAATGCATGGACTGTACGTAGTACTTCGGAGAACAACGTATTACTACTACATAGTAGTACAAAACATGCAACCCGAGGCTTACCCTTTACCGGTATGAAAATGAAGAAATACTGTGAAAACTACATGTAGTGTCTGTGTCTCTCACGCTGGCCTAGAAGCCAAACTCGCCGAAGAAATCAACATCCTTCTTGGGCTTTTCCGTTTTATCGACAGGTGCTGGAGGGGGTGCGGCGGCAACAGGGGCGGCAGAAACAGTAGCCGAGCCATTGCTGGCGGTGGCCGTCGCTACAGACGACGAAGAAAGTCCGAGAAGGTCGTGGCTGCTGCCGTTGGTACTTGACGATGAGGATCCAAACAAATCAGGGGTCTGAGTAGGCTTCGGCTGCTGCGTCGATGTATGGAAACTGTTGTTGTTGTTGCCATTGCTGCTACTTAGTTGCGAGTCCAGCCACGAGTCATTGTCATGATCACGGCTTAATGAATTTGTGTTGCTGCTACCAATGCCAGCGTATTTTCCAGTGGTGGGCAGCTCGGCGTTAGTGCGAGGAAATGAGCTCATTCCGTCCGAGTTTCCATACGAATTACCACCTCCGTTCACTGCGCTTTGTGCGGTTTGAAGCAGGGATGAGGCACCACTGGAAAGCGCGGACCAGCCCGAAGAAGCCGAGGACTTAACGTTATCGGATAGCGCAGGATCGTGAATTGCACTCTGTACGTAGGACCAGCTTGATGAGACCTTAGATCCCAGATCTTGGTCCTTGACGAGACTCGCAGCTGAGCTGGCGGCAGTTGTGACCGTGCTGGTAAAATAGCTAAAGGCGCCGGAGAGGTCTCCTAATCCTCCAGACGAGGTCTGCGGTGCGCGCGTTTCGCCGCCGCTTCCAATACCCTGCATGCCGTTGCCACCGAATTTGGCGGCCATACGTGAACGGGCCTCCTCGCGCAGCTTCTTCTGGCGAGCCACGTAATCCTGCTCTGATTCTCCCTTCAGCGCCTCTACGCCGCGGGTATCGCCTCCTGCTGAGCCTCCTCCAGAATACGATGCTGACGAGAAGGAGGACGAAGCTGGTTTACGCATGGCCGGGTCCCACTGAGGAAGTGACGGCGGAGAGCGTCCCTCAACAATGGCCGTTAGTCGCTGGCGATAGGCTTCAGCCTGCGGGGTGTTGTATTTCTCGCTAATGGACAAATCTGTGGGGACACCGGCAGCGGAGAAAGCAGCGCGAAACGAGTCATTTCCACCCTTCTGCATCTGTAGAACCTGCTTGTCCGTCCAGGAGTCCATGGTGACCGACCGCACAAACGAGATGTGCACGCCCAGTCCGCGGTGGCGGCCTGAGCACTCAAGGCACATAAAGGTGCCGTATGATACCGTCGCCCATTGCGGATACGGGGCATCGCAGTCGACGCAGCGCTGCAGCAAAAATGAAAGATGGTTTAAGAATAAGTTCGACATAGACGAGCAATGGAGATCAAGAGACGCACGTTGTTACCAGGCAGGCGCCGCAGCTCCTGCTGGGTCTCCATAGGCATCTGGTGAGCCATCCTGCAATGTGTCTAGTCTATTGGGGGGGATGCACGTGGAGGGCGACAGCGCACTTAGGGAACAGTCTGGAAGACACGGAATCAAGAAAGCGACCGTTACGCGGTGCTGAACACAGGTGATGATCCAGTGGCTAAAAACAGTATCCAAACCAACCAATCACACGATGCCAGGAAGCTACGGACAAGAGACAGGGCACAAACATCAAAGATACTTTTGTTCATTGACGTCGAAATGAAACCACACGAGTTCGCTGCGGCCGCTTGAGCACTTGATACAGCAGCAGGTTGAGACCCAAAAAGCTTCCAATGATCAGTGCCAAATACGTCGAGAAGTTTCCGTAGCCGCGGCCACATATCATGTACCACGAGTCCTCGTATAGCAGTTGCGTCACCGGGTAGTTGCACAAGTTGAACTCCTCGTCAAAGTTGTGAACGCACAAATACTTCTTGCGGCGGTGGTGCATGCCCACGAGGGAGTAAAACGGCTCGTCCTCCATGCAGTTGCCTAGTGGCTGATGGTGACCCAGTGACACGATCTCCGTCGGGTAAATGAACAGTGTCAGCAGCACTAGGACGAGGTAGAGCAAAAAAGTCATTTGGTTCACGGCATGGTCGATGCACGAGTACAGCCAGTCGCTGTCATAGAGGTCCACGGGCTCCAGAGCTTTTTGTACTTGAGGATCGTCTGTAATGGGCAAAATTACAACCAGTTACCAGCCTAGCCCAAACACACCAGCTCTCAAATAGCTACGTGCATACCTCTTTCCCGATCAGCCATCCAACAAAGCAGCAAACTCGATCCTATCAAAATGAAGAACATCACCTGCAAAACAAAAATAGTGACATCAGTAATTTATAATCTCACAGCAACAAATACGTTTAATGCACCGCAAAGTTACCTGTGCATCGATCCCCATTAGACGGACAGTTGAGTAGTAGCCCAAAATGAGGAAGCCTATTGCAAAAATGGTGGTGAGGAATGGCATGAGCAACGCGTAGCCCCATTCGGATTTCCAGTGTTCCTCCTCATAGTAGTCTCCCACAAGCCAAGTGCTGCAAAACAGAGTTCCAGAATTCTGTCAGCAACGTAAATGGAGCCTATAAAACTCTTCAGCACAATGTATTTACCTGCGTAAAATATGGTGCACACAGAGGAATGCAAATGCGAAGAAGAAATTGTAAAACAGAGCGTGGCACGGCACGCCCATCAACCTCTCAGCTAGGAGCGGGTCCGTATCGTGCCACGTCCACCAGAGGAACTTGGTGCCCACCAACTCAAACGGGAACGCCAGCATCACCATTAGCGAGCCCATTGCAAACGGCTGGAAAAATGGGTCGATCCGCAATCGCGACGTCGCGACGAAGGCTCTGTTTCCGCAGGTCACATAAGCAAACTCAACGACCACCTTAGCAATATGATACAGCCTCTCACTCACATATAATAGAGCTGAGCTTGTAATAGCACCGTATACAGCGGTAAGTGTTCAGATACCAACATCACCAGTGCCTGCGCGTGCCACCGGTCGCTGTAGTAGAAGACCAGCTCTACGATGAGCACTTGAAATATTGCAGCAGCCAGCATGGTGGCATTACGCTTGCCCGATGAGTGCACATGCAGCATGAGCAGGAAGACGGATAGGTAAGTAGCTCCCTCCACAACCGCCAGCGAGACGTTTTCGTTCAGCAGTCCGAAGAACGCTATCGGCATTACACGCGAGGTCGCCACCATTTCCCCCAAACAAACAAAAACAAAATAACGTTAAATAACAATGCAAAGGTGTGATCTATCGGATAATTGTTAGAATGAAACATGGCTACATAGCGTGAAGTGAGCTACATGGCCTTCCCGTCGTGAGGAAGGTCGGTGCCAGACTCTTGCGCAATGAAAACCCGATATATCACGAACAGAAGAACACACAGCAGAACCAGCAGGAACACCATGCCAGACACTGAGGTGTCTGCAACCCCAATCATTGGCCGTTTGGGACCTTCAGGTGCGTCTCCACGGTTCCAAACAAGGTTCTCAACTTTCTCCTTCCACGTCTCGGCATCCTGCCCTCCTGTATCTCCAGTCTCGTGCTGAACGTGTTCTGCTTGGTCAAAGTCTTTTGGAATGTAGCAAGTTCGACCTTCGTAGTTGCTGTCGCACAAGCACATACCGTTTACACAATCGCCATGGTTACTGCAGTGCTCACGGTACACGCACACGACAGCACGATCAGACGCCGGAAAGTCCTCCAGATTCGAGTACCCGCTGGAAAGAGACTTCAGATACCGATCGAACGCGATGTCAAACTCGGTAAGCTCAGTATCCATAAACTTGGACAGTTCTTGTTCCAACGACGGGAAGATGAGATTGAAACCCCCTCGTCGAGCGTACTCGGTTGTTGCTGTGAAAAGTTTGCGTGCAACATTGGGGGCAAACCACCCAGGGCAAGACCAGCACGAAGTGTCCCAAGCACGATTCTTGTCACGGCACTTGTCGGAGCAAAAGCTAGTATCAGCCGCCGGGCGATAGAACTTCTCGAACGGAAGGCGGGCCTGAGGATGAACACCCACTAGATTAAGTAGGTCGTGCAACAAACGATTCTTGATAGCCTCGTCCGTAGCGAGTACGGACTGCGTGCCTTCCATCGACGGATTAGAAACCACACGAACAAGCCACGGCTTGGCCATATCGTCGAACTCAAAGTCGAACCTCCACAGGTCGAAGAAGCTATCACTGAGATCAGTCGGAGTAGACTCAACTTCAGGTGCGGCTGAGCGCTTCATCTTGGCTTGCTCGCCTTGTAAGTTGCCACGGTTGCTGAGCACAACCTTGGCGATCGCAGCTTCCATATCATCCTGCAAATGCTTCGTGTCGACTCCCTGTCTCCGTAAATATTTCTTTAGAACATGCCAAGCATTCGTTCCTTCCCGAGTAGCCGACGGAAGCTCATGGAAATCTGCCTGTATATCGAAAAAATCCCATGGAGCGATGTACTGGTCAAAGTTGTAGGCGGCTGGGTCCGACTCAACCTTCAACTTGCTCGGATACTCGCCCTTGGCAATTTGGATCAGTGGGTGGTCATACACGTAAACACGAAGCGGATCTGTCGACGTCACGGCCACGTAGAAACCAACACGAAACTTGTGGTTGTCCAGCAGCAGTGGCTCGACGTACTGATCCACCACCACTGTCTTCCCCTTGAATGTACTCGACTGCAGCTTGAACTGCAAATCTTCATCCGTAACAAAAACTTCAGCGCGTGTGATCGAGTCGTCATCGCCGTTAGGAGCGCGCTCACGCAGCAAAAAGCGCCGGTGTACGTGCGAATCGCGCCCGCGTTTGGGCGAGAAATCGGATTTCTTTCGCGCTGCCGTGTATGCGCTGGTCAGCTGGGTCTGATCGCGCGGCAGCTCGAAGTGTAGCGGTACAAAATCAAAGAAGAACTTCGCGTGCTCTTTCTGCTGCGCTGCCAAGTGTTGGCCAAGCGCGTCGGGCGAAGTGATCTTCTCCGCACCCGGTAGATGGTTCACCTTGGCGTCGAATTGATGCGGAAATTCCAGTTGCAGGAATGGCGGCGCAGCTGCCGTACTCCAGACGAGGTCAAACTCTGAGCTGTCGGACAGTAGCCTTCCCCAAGAGGCCTGGGCGTCAGCGGCTCGAAACTGCGAGATACCGAGCGCCTCCAACCGCTGCAGCACTGGTTTCAGCTTCTGTTCCTGCGTAGCCTCTGGCAAGTAGAATCGCGCTTGGGTGCGGGTGCTCGCTTCTGCGCAGACGTTGATAGACGCGGCTAGCGCAAGCAGAAGCAACAGACTCGGAGGCAGCGGGAGACTCGTCATCGGAAATCTTCCAGTGTTCGTGCCGCCTTTTGTCTCTGGCTTTCACAACTGACTGAAATTTTAACGGTTAAGTTTACATAGCGGTTTAGGCAAGTTGCCAGAAGTCGAATACATGTATGTGCATTCGAACTGTGAACGAAGCCGCTTTCACGTAGCGTTGCAGCTATCCTGACACAGCGCAATGTGATTATCTTGAGTTATGTCTAAGTCACGACCAACTGGCCAAAAGCGATGTATCCTCTTTCCCCTGTTATTTATCTGCACTCGTCACTGTCGCGCCCCCGTCATCTAGCAGAGTTTGGGGATCTGGATAGCAGCGTCGCGAAAGGACTTAAAGGGAGCGAGGCCGGGGAACTGCAGCTGCTTGAGTGCAGCCTGGAAACTCGCGTTTGGCGAGCCAGCGGCGATAGCAACACTTTCCTGTGGCGCGGTTGCCAGAGCACTGGTGTGGAGTCCTTGGCGCTGCTTGTGCTTGGGGCTGCGGTCGCAGATCACATACACTTTTTTCCGTCGGCGGACGACCTTGCAGCCGTCGCACATGCGCTTAACGGACGAGCGCACCTTCATGGCTTCGAGTGGTTCTTGCTCTGCAGTCCACGAGTGACTTTCAGCCGCACTTATGGGAGGGGTACGTTTTGGGTTATCCCTTTCATAAGTGATATTGTTTTTGTTTTGCACAGCATTACTGCTAACTTAACTTACAGTGTTAAGTACCGGTATGCATTTCAATTCGATACCTTCGTGACTGACAAAGTTTGTCAAAGTACAGCAAAGAAAGCCAAATGACCACGATGAAGAAGAATGCAAAGAATAAAACAAAGAAGAATCAGAACATGACCGCCGCTGGCGCTTCCATGACCGAAGAGCGTGAGGAGCGGCCGTTTATGGTGCGAGTGCTGACGGTGGGCGCAGCCTCTTATCTAGCGCACAAGGTCTGGACCAAGAGGAAAACGTTGACAGCAGGATGGTACACAGAGGAGCAGTCGGCGACTGAGCAGGGTATGGTAACAGCCTTTGAATACCTCAGCGCTATGGGGCTTATCTTCGTCATCGGAATCGTGGTGGGCGTGATCTTCAGCAAGATTGCCAAATGGGTCAAGAGCGCCGCACCAGCAGAGCCATAATACGACGGTCAGGGGTAGAAAATGCTGAACGAGGATTCCGCGCGTCCTTGGTCAAAGGAACCTCGCGCTAAAAAGAAAGAACAAGTTAGGAATTGACAAAATCAGTGTGTTGTTGATGCAGAAATGCGTAGGTCTTACTAAAACCAAGTCTAATTCAAATCATTTTTACAACCCAAGCGCGCACTTTTTCAAACTTCCGAAGTCCATGGCACCATCGGGTCGTCGCCGCGTCGGCCACTCGCTGCGTCGCTCTCGCCGCAGGAGCGCCGCCAACGGTAGGGTCAGCACACGATCCACTGCCGGCGCTGGACCTCTTCAAGCGATCGGAGAAAATACCGTCGTAGATCTCTCGGCAGACGACGGGTTGGACGCCGTTGTTACCAGCTCGCGCTTTGGCCTCCCGTCCACGACGCTAGCGAGTCCGTCGCCCAAGAAGTTGAGCAAAAAGAGAAAGAAGAAACGTCCACGCGAATCCACAGCCTTACAGTCTGAGAAAAAGCGCAAGCAGCATTTAGAGAGGCTGCTGGACGAGCTGGATACTCAAGGTGCAGCTTCTCATTCTCACTCTTGATGAAGAGTATAATAATTCTGACTCTTATCTGTTGCTACGACCTGAACAGTACAGGAACAATGCGATCAGCTGATATCAGACGCTGAACGACGCGCACAGGATCTCGAAATGGAGCTCAAGATTCAGCTGGTCTATCTACCCGAAGCTGTACGCAGAATGCCCTGGAAAACCTTCGCGGAGGATTATGGCGGAGACTTGCAGAACGTCATCCAAAGCTTGTCGCAGCCATCACCTCCACGAGCGCAGTCGTCCGTGTCTCGGCACGACATTGTGGCCGCTACTCCATGCAGTGTGGATGATCCCCAGGAAAGCAAGTATCGTTACGAGTCCGCGTCAGACGAAAGTGACCATGACACACAGAATCGCCGTCTGTCAGCATTCACCACGCCAATGTACCGTCGTCGAGCGGGTGAAGTGCCGAAGACTGTCTTACGTGCAGCCCATAAGGGAGAAACCTTTTATTCAGTTCGAGGTTCCCCCATCATACCCGACTCCGTAGCGAAGGCGAAGGCACCAACAACGCCGTTAGTTGCTTCATTTGAGACGGATCTTGAGTCCACTTCAAACTGCTTACGACTAGACAATGAACGTGTGGTCGACTTGTCTCGACCAGAGCAGCTCTCAGCCAAATCACGTGGAGAAGCAACGTCCAAGCTCAAAGATCTTCAAGCCAAGGTGGCACAGCTATTACAACAGCTCAATCCTTGTTCTCGCTAGAGCGGCACGAGTGCAGCAAGATAAACCCACACGGATAACACACAGTTCGGGTGACCGCATACGTACACGGCAAGCGCGAATTCAACGCCCGGCCGTTCGTTGTAGTGAATGTTCTGCTCTCGACACGAATGAATCAGTTAGCTGTGCGTCTCTCTTTATCGTACAAGGAAAAATATAGTATTATAGTTGCAACATTGCACGTACCGTGGTCTCAACGAGTCCAAGCACCCGAGGAATGTCAGTAAAAGAAACGTGGAGTGGAAGACCGCAAATTTCTCGTGAACGCTGTAACTCACGCAGTACAGTGCCACTAGGATGCGATCTCCGCAAAGGCAAAGCAAGTTTCATCTTTAGCTTCTGTTTCAGCTTCGTGGTCGACCGTGGACTCGGATTGTTATCTGCCGTCAATGCTGTTGTTGACGTATCTTGGCTGCTGGTGTCACCGTTAGCTTCACGCTCAAGCACCATCAAGTGCTCTCGCAATTGCAGACCTGCAGCTTCGTTAAAGTTTGTGGCGAAGTGCGAACTTCTCCAGCGTCGAACGGCCAGCTTCAGCACCTCTCGCAGCTCTCGTTCGACTTGGTATACGAACTCATGTGGAGTCTGGTTGTACACGAGCTCTCGACGCTGGACACTAGGCGGCAGGGAGATATTCTTTGCAGTGAAGAAAGGAGTCCAGCACTTTGTGTTGCTCTCGATATCCCACTTGAGCTCGTGAATGCTGCCAGCTACAGTACCTCGTCCGAACATCAGCGGCTGTACATTCGCAAAGACATTTTTACTCGATACAACAAGTGACACATCGCAAAGAGGACAGTGGGGATCTGAAACAGCGTATCCGACTCCTGTACTGGCATTCCAAAGAACCCCTCGACGAAGTACGTAGACAATGTTACCTTCTGGTACGGCGTGTCCAAGAACAAGATAGGTACGCGAAGACTTGCGTTTGTTCTCTTTCGGACGGTGACGATCATACCACATGAAATAGTTAGCCAGTAACACGGCGTGTTCCTCGTGATCCCCTGCACCCATGTTCAAAAATTCCTGTGCGGTACTCCAGACGTCCTTGTCTCCATCAAACGCAAGCCAGTCGTCTAGGAACGGTATCAAGCTCACGTATCGCACCAACGTAGATAGAGAAGCGGATTGCAGCTCTACAGGAGGCGATTGGGCTCGCAAGAACCGAGGCAAGAAAGTGGCTCCATGGCTGAGATTACGGACAAAAACATCGTAGTTTCGACGACGCGCTGCGCTTGCTGGAGTGGCATTCTTCACACTTGTAACCCAGCGTTGCGCATGAGCAAGAAGCAGTTTGTCTTGCGCATTTCCTGAACTAGAAGCCCACGCTTCACCTTCATTATGATCAGAAGCCTGGTTACTTAAAGGAAGAGCTGGGTCCAACAGCAGCGTGAGCTTCAAGAAAGAGGCTTCACGTGCAGCTTGCCTCACACCCAGCCCTTCTGGGTCACCATAGTCGTCGTCATCGATGCCACTTGCTTCCAGGCTAGTTGGATTTCTGGGACTCATTAACGTTCGCCTTCGGGCTGAGCTGCTAAGTCGACTTCGGCGTTGTCGAGGTGAACCATCTTCGTCATCTGAAGATGCAACAGAAGGCGGACCTGACGACATTTTTGCAATGCTTGATGTGGTTTCGTTAGTCGCACCGACCTGGAGGTTAGCGTAGCCCAAATGTTCAATTGGCATCTGACATCGCAGTGAGCCTTCAAGACGGCCTGCTCGATAAAGAGTAAGGAACGGCACTTCAAGACTTCCGAGGAAACAGTTTTCCCGATGTAAAGCTCGCGTTTGAGCTCCAAGATGCTCCTCGCCTTCTTGTTGGTCTTCGTTTATTGCTGTTGAAGCTGGACGAGTGACCTGGTCAAAGATACTGAAGCGGATGACGTCTTGTGTGCTCTCGATACCGTCAGGACTCCAGTCATCTTGAGGAGGACGAAAGGGTAAAGCTAGAGTCTCCATCCACATCGGATGCGCTCCACCACCGTGATCGCTTGTGCTTACAGTTCCCATTACAGTGGCACACGTAGTTTGCCGAGTTTTCCCCTGGAAGCTAACCTGTACGAACACGTGGCTTTCGTATTCCAGTGTCAAGCCTCCGCGTGGAGTTTCTACCACTTCTTCACTCTGGTTGTCACTAGGAGATGGCATGGTCATCATTCGTGGACTCTTCTTCGTTCGATTCAATGTGTCACGTCGTCGTCTTCCTGTCGCGATTTCTTCGGCTTCAGTCGCGTCACGTGCGGGTTTAATCCTCACCGGCACGTTTGTTGCCTTCTGCACTTGTACGTACAACGTGCAGGCAGTAGGCCAATGTGCTGCTGTCTGTGAGGAAGACGCTGATGCCGGTGCTCTAGTGCGTGGTCGCAAGCGTCTCCGTGGAGCAAATAATGCTCCAATTGCTGGAAATTCCAGCGTCCCTGGGAATAGCGGCAATGGTTTCTCTTGAACAATAGCTGCCAGAGGCTTCGAGCGACCTGTTCGCGCTTCCTGGTTGCTACTGTCCGTATTGTATTTACATACAATTTGCGTTTGACGAACACGTTCACGGAAGTCTTGTAGCTTCAGGAGCTGTCGTACACGATGGCGTTCGACGATAGACGCGTCAGCTCGTTCAGCTTCTTCAGATAGCAGTCGACGATCGAACACTGTTAACTCAGGTCGTAGAAGTCGAAGCAACCGCTCGTCAGCCAGCAATTCGTGCTCCAACAACGGCAAAGGTTCATCAAAGACTGCGTGCTGCGGTATCCACCTCGGCGGCTCTACTTTTGCACTGCTGTGACTCGTAATTGCATCGCAAAAGCTAGTACCATGCTGAGACGCATACTCTCGGTCGCGAAGTCGAAGGAGTCGATTGCGTTTAGTGAGTCCACGACCGCTTCCAGCCAAGGGATCAGACACATCACTCGTCCGAAACACTATTCGTCGGCCTAGACCTGCAGCCTGAGCTTCTTGTTGCTGTTGTGTGAAGTAGACCTGAAGACGTCGCACTGCAACATTTTCAGGATCGTTCGGATCGAGTGAAAGCTTCTGAGGCTCAACGAGACGAAGAAAGTCGCGCTCGCTACTGAAATCGGCGTCGGCGAGATACTGCGATAGACAAGTTGAGTTGCGCTTTGAAAGCTTTCCGACGAGTTGAACCGGGGAAGGCGAGGCTTCGTGTCCACCAGCAGTCTCAGGGCGTTTGGGGGGAAGATAGGCAGGACCATCCGAACAAATCTGTGTGCTACGTGTACCAATGTCAGAAATCCAAGCTACCCGAAGATGAAGCCTTCCATGAGTACGTCGACTTGTGTGGGTAAACAGAGGAGCGTTGTGGAACGAACGATGCCATTGCGTCCGTGTGATAGGTGTCGTGCTGCTGAACTGGTACCACTCGTCACTAGGAGTGAGACTCGCTGCAGGCACCAAGTGATCTTCATTATTGTCTCCCCATCCATCCAAAACTGACGAGCGTGATCGAGAAGGAGCAGGCTTTGCAACGTGCTGTCCTGGAACGACCACTGGAACTGCATTTGTCGACAGGAGTTCGTCGCGTAAAAGTCTTCGACGTTCGTACACTTCAGTACAGATCGACGAAGGAAAGAATGGCAGTGTGATGCACAACTTCTCGGAGAAACGAGCTTCGCCGCGGGACCACGACTGAATTCTAGTTGTGCAAGCGATTTTCCCGTTCACACGAGCCACAACGTAGAACCGAGGGCTCCAAAATGAATTATAGGCCGGCTGGGCATCTCTTTTGGTGTTTTCAAGCTGTAAAACAGTCTGCAAAACGTGAGCTGATGTAGTAGAAATTGTGGCCAAGCGCTCGGAGATTTTCTGAATTGCCAGTTGCGATTTGTCGTCGTCGTTCTGGTTTCCAGTGCCAGATCCCACGAGTTCTAAAATGGCGTCTACGCGAGATAAGTCAATAGGCTGTTGGAGCTGTCTTTGCTTGATATTAAGAGGAATGACGGACCTAGAGCGATTTACAGCATCTCGCAGCTCATTCGTCTTGCCTAGAATCTGCTGGTGAAGTTGATTTAGCGCTTCCAGATCTGTTAGCAGTTGATCAACTTCCTGAATCACTTGGCTCGTCGACAGATTAATTGCTGCCAAAATGCGTGGCGTTGTCGTTTGCGCTAGTTGCTCAGTGGTGCGAAAGAAGAAATCATCCAGACGCTGCAATGAGAGTTGCCACGGTTGTAGCTGCTGTATTCGACTGTACGCTGTGTACAGAGCTCGCAGTTGAGCAGAAAGACGATCTGCTAAGGCAAATGTGGGATGATCATCCATCACAATTCGGTCGATGAAAAGCTCAAGCAGAGCAAGTTTCGGCATCTTCTTCTGGTTCTTGTGGCTTTGTCGTGAGTTGGTTGTTGGCTGTACGGTAGTCGTGGCGTTTGTATCATCATCGGCAGTCGAAGGTCTCTCTAAATCTAACACTTCACTACGTGGATTCGGTAAAAGAAGCTCTTCTATCAGTACACCTCTGCGTTGTGTTTCTTCTAACATAGAATTCACACCATGTCTCGGCAGCGTTGTAGTCTCAGAGAGTTCTCTGGAGATCCGCGCTTCCAGACGATCAAGTGTACTACGTTCCAAGCATCTGAATTTCTCTCTCTCGTCATCAACAAACAACCCTGCAGCTTCTTGCTGCTTCAACCGTTCGGATAATTTCTGCGTTGCTGGTAAAGACGCTTGACGTCGTTGAAACCAGCTTGAGCACGACGTTGCAGGTCTCACAATGATCTCGTCGATCGGCTTGGCGTTTGGTGCAATGACCTTATTCGTTAGCAATCTTGCAGTCGTGTCGACATCATCGTCGCTACCATCGTCGTTGGGCTGCTGTTCAGGGGATTTGGCTGTGTCTGTCGCACCCGATGGTGCACGCAGGAACCGATTGTTGCTGTGAGTATCCCGTTCCGTCGTATTATGCTGACGCTTTCGTTGCGTTTCAACTTCATTGCGCTTCTCACTTTCACTTCGCTGTCGAGGTCGAGTAGTCGGAGACTTCGTCCCGTCATTGGAATCGTCTTGAGGTGTTCGTCGTCGTTTCCTTTGGTCTACAGCCACGTCCAACGTCTCTGGTGTCTGTCTGTCCTCCATTTTGTATCACGGATCTTGAAAGGTCGGAGATACCTCGAAATGGCTCGACAAGCCCAAGTGGGGTCCAAACTGCCAGATCTGGTAGGTGAGTCGCAGGTTGGCGTCGTCCGCGCTCACGATTACTTGGCGGGTGGGTGGGGCATCATTTGTTCGTTCCCTCAAGCTCGACATCCAACGTGGTTGTCGGAGCTTGGAGCTCTGCAGAAGTTGCAGGATCAGTTCGAGGCTCGTAACGCTCGGGTGCTGGCGCTTCACATTGCCTCGTTGCGAGAGCAGAGCCTGTTTCTCTCCGACGTCAACGAAACTCAAGAAGTGAAGGTGAAATTTCCTGTATTAGCCGACGAAGATGGCGAATTATCCCGGCGTCTGGGACTTGTTGTCGCTGGAGCGCCAAAACACGCCGCTGACGCTGGACGCTTACCGTTCAGCTGCACAATTGTGCTGGATCTCGACTTGACAGTGCGAATGTTGACTTACTACCCCATGAGTGTCGGTCGTAATTTCTACGAAGTGCTCCGAGCTCTGGATGCCCTCCAACTCTGCACCTTCGAGCAAGTAGTGACACCAGTGAATTGGAAAGTGAGTGACGATGTATTCGTAGAGCCCGATGTGACCACCGATGCAGCCAAAAAGCTCTTTCCTCAAGGAACACATGAGATCAAACCTTACGTCAGACTCACGGCGTCTCCCTCCATAAGCAACGACAACTAACAGCACACAAAGTAGTAAAACATATATACAGTACGTTGCAGATCGACCTCATAGATAATTACGCGTTCGGGTTCTTGCTATGTGTCTTCTATCAAACGGCTCCGCTAAGTCTTGCTACCGGTCCGACTGCGGTCCTCGCGGAGGTTGTTGCTGGTGTTGCTGATGTATCTGCTGTTGAATGAGCTGGTCACTACGTGACACGGTGGATCGCTGTTGTTGCTGCTGCTGCATCAACTGCAAATGGTGATGCAGTGCTTGCTGCTGCATCTGCTGCTGATGAAGCTGTTGCTGAGCTTGATGCTGATACTCATGGTGATGATGAAGCTGCTGGTACTGTTGGAGTTGCTGGTACTGCTGCTGAGCTTGAGCTTGAGCTTGCTGCTGGGCTTGGGCTTGAGCTTGAGCTTGAGCCTGTTGCTGCTGATACTGCTGGGCTTGCTGCTGCGAGTTTTGAGATTGAGCCTGAGCCTGGGCCTGAGCTTGAGCCTGGGCCTGAGCCTGAGCCTGTTGCTGATGAGCTTGAGCTTGTTGATGCTGCATCGCATTGTTGTACCGCGCCATGTTGGCCGCCATGTCCAGCGCTTGTTGTCGCGCTTGTTGGGCTTCTTGAAGAGCTTTCGCCGCTGCAGCAGCTGCCGCTCGTGCACGAGCAGCTTCTTCCTCTGCACGCTGAGCTCGTCGCAGCAGTTCGGCTTCTTCAAAGCGAATCTGTGACGCGTAGTTCCACATCTGCTGCTGAGCTCGCGGGTCTCCAGGCTGGGCGGCGTTTGAGACCGCCGACGAGGTGGAAGACCCCGAGCCACTGCGCGACAGCGCCACAGCCATCTGAGCGGATGTGTTGGTATACGTAGCCATACTCTGCGCACTTGACGTCATCTTCTCGCTTGGACTGGTACGCGCCATCGTAGACGACATGGTAGACGACGCAGCCATGCCGCTCACCATCGCAATCGAGCTACGTGACGATGAGCCCGCACTTTCAGCACTGCTGGTGTTTGCATCATAGTAGCGACCTGGCTGCATCTGGCGCTGCATTTGTTGCTGCTGTTGATGCATCAAAGACGACTGACCAGGAGTTGACGTCCGGCGTTCAGGTGACGGCACGTTCAGAAGACTCGACATGAGACCCATACGGTTATGCTGGGCAGGGACAGACGATCTTCTCGGCAACAAATGAGCCGTCGGACTCGGAGCTGAGACTGAAGATCGCGCCAACTCCGCAGCAGAAGAGGGCGGCATCGCCCGCGCCTGCTCGATACGGAGCGATGGTTGCTGCTGCTGCTCTATCTGCTGTTGCTCCTGGCTCCTCTGCTGTTCACGTGGCGATTCTTGCTGTCGAATGATCATTGAGCCGTGGCCTCGAGGTGTTGAGTCATCTCGTGGTGACTCCGACTCATTTAAGATGGACGAGAACGACATTCGACTGCGAACAGGCTGCACAGGAGGTAACATAGGCGGTGCCAGCGCTTCGCGGCCTTTTTGTGCGTTATCCTCAACCGCTGGCGTTGCGGTAGTGCTCGTGGTATCATCACTCTTCAGGCTGGTAGATGCAGGTGCAGAGTTCCATGTCTCTGTTTGTCTGCTAGTATTCATCGGCGTTGAACGAGGAGGAGCCAGCGGAGGTTGTTGAGGGGTTCCTGCAACAGCCTGCTGACTCGAACTAACGGTTCCACTGGCAGAGTCCATCATCGCCATACTCATCATCGAACGTTGCGACGCCTCTTGAGAGCCCATTCGGCTTCTAGCTGGCCCTGCGCCTCCGTCCGTCGAGACATTGCCACCAGCTTCCACTTGCCTTTCGTAGTGCTGCACATGTGTTGGTGACATTTGCACAGCTCCAGTCATCGCTTGCGAGTGTTGATTCTGCATCTGCGGCATCGATTGGTACATGCCGCTTGGATGTCCCATCTCTGCGAAGGAGCCTCTCGCTTGCTGTTGCTGCTGGATCTGCATCATTTGACTGTGCGTCGGCGTCTGAGCGTGGCTCTGCAGTCCCATTTGCTGCAACGCTTGCATCGACAAATGCTGCGGAGGTACTTGATGTTGCTGTTGTTGCTGCTGTTGTTGCTGGCGCGAGAACTGATACATCCGCTGTGCATTCGCAGTATTCATCTGGGTTTCGTGGTACGAATTGTTGTTGTTCCCGGCTCCTTCCGACGCCATCCCCTGCGATTTTTGCTGCTGCTGGAGCTGCATAATCTGCAATTGATGTTGCATATTCAGCAGCTTCAAATATCGCTCGGGGTTCGATGCAGGGTTCATCATTTCGCGCGACTGCTGTTGATCCTGATGCGCCTGCATAGCAAACTGGTTCGCTGAAAGATCCGACAACACATTGACTCCGTGCATCCCAGGCTGAGCTGCACTCAGAGCTGCCTGGAACGAAATACTCGGATCACTGCCGCTCATTGCCATGGACCCGCTCGGCATCCCGATCGACATGCCTCCAGGGAGATCAGCCGAGCGTCCCATCTGTCGCAACGTACCGCTCATTAAGCCAGCGGCCGCAGACCGAGGCGAGACAGCGACGTTGACACTCGCCACTCCAGTCGCTCCAGTAGCACCCTTTCCGCCTCCACTGGCCGCTGCGTTCTCAATCCTACGCTTCAGAATATCTTGCAAGTTCAGTCGGTTCTTGTAGTTCTGGTAGTAGTTCTTGATCTGTGCAGCAGTCTTCGTGGGGATATTATCTGTCAACGTTGCCCAATCCTTACCGTATTGCTGGTAAACAGAAACACGCAAGACGTTATTACACAGCAGAAGATAAACCACTCATTGCAGCATAACGTACCGAAAAATACTTGAGGAAGTCCGCCTTTTCTCCTTCCGTCCACTTCTGCACCACACGTTTCGCAGGAGCACTCGCACTGTTACCTACTCCAGTATTCGCTGATGGAGACGACGTTCTAGCGCTAGCATGAGGTGTCGTGCTTCCACCTGGGCCCTTCTTCAATGCTACTCCCGTAGGTGCAGTGATCATCGATACAGAAGCTGTCCCAGCCGCCGTCAAACTTGACACCACGCTGACCTTGGGAGATGCGTTGGCGGCACTTGTCTGGTTGTTCCGACGTGGACCTGGCGTCCCACCACCACTTCGACTCGATTTCTTGGTCTTTTCCTCTCCTGGAACTGAAATGCGAGGGCCGTTTCGGTTGTTAGACGATGCACTTGAGGTCGACGAAGAACCTGTACCGCTTTTCTTCCTATTAACTGCGTTTCCACCTAGTTGAGCAGAAGCTGGCGTTGATGTGGGAGTTGCTGCCGACGCCAGAGCTCCTTCCTGCATCTTCTTAAGCCTTCGTTGCTGCTTCAACTCCTTCTTCGTCATCGGAGCTCCACCATTCTTCGGATTAGCAGCAGACACTGTCGACTGACTCTGCAACTTTACCTTCGCGTTTTCCTGAGAAGCGCTGGCAGACGTACCCCCTATTGCCACAGCTATAGCAGACTCCAGCTCCTTGCTTGGCGTAGGATACTTCTTCAAGCGTTCTTCAATAGACAGAGTCGAGACTTCATAGCCCGTACTGTACGAGTTATCAGTTAGCAGGGACGCATAGTCCACCAAGAATGGTCGTTGCTGTCCTGCAACGAACTGCTTGAGTTGCTGCGTGTACAAGTTAAACTTCTCCTCGTCCGAAGCGTCGGAGTCTTCCGAATGAATAGCATCGTCGAGGTGCACTGCAGATTCTGTCGCTGACGAGCGCACACAAAGCGTGTGGTCTGATCCAGACACCATATCCAACGCACAGTTTCCTTCTGCACTCTCCTTGGCTTTTTCTTTGTTGCTAGTCGTCACGCTGCCCTCTGCCTTCGTCGTGGAGCTACGGAGTAAACGCTGAGCACCAGGCGAATTAAGAATATTCTCAGAAGCTTGATGAGAGCGGAAGTTAGACGGGTGGAGCAACAGCTTCGCGACGTGCTCCGGGAGTTGCACACCCAGGCAAATAGCAGCACACGCGGACAAGTTCCAACAGCTCCAAGTGTTCTTCGATCCCGCTCCACGACGCCGTAATTGCTGTTCTCGCAGCAGCGCCTTGTAGTCCGCAACCTTCTTCGTGCGATAATAAAAATCAATCACATCGCCAGTCGTCTTGTTCCTCAGGTAGGAGGAGATCCGCGGGAAGTTCTTGGGGAACTGCAGGAACTTATCTATGTAGATACACTTCTCCAGGTCATTCCACGGGTTCACCTTCATCTCCGCCTTTTCCTTCAGCTTCCAGTCCGTCACTAGCCCGTCCGCCATGCAGCTTTGACCATTGACAAAGCGAGTGATATAGCGTTGCTGTCGGTCTGCCGGGGTGATCAACATGTCTGGGATGACTGTTGATAACGCGTTCTTAAGCCGCTTCTTCCTTACCTCCTGGTCAAGCAGAGCCTGAGCCTTAGCCTGTTCAATCTTCTCCAGGTCGTTATTCTCCAAGTCAGCACTAGAATTGTTCGTCAGCCGAGACGATGTTCGCACAATTGTCCCTTCGCCTCCAGCAGCTTCCGCGGCCTTTTCAGCTGCAACCAACTGCTGCACATGAGGACTCTGATGAATGGTATTCGTCGTTCGGATAGGTCCACTTTCGCTTAAGCTCTTGAGCTTCTGTTTCTGCAGCTGCTTGAGACGCTGCTTGTCCTGTCGCTTTCGATCTTTCTCCATCTTCTTCACCCCCTGTTTCCACGACTTCTTCAGGTCCAAATATTCCCGCGAGAGCTTCTTCATGTAATCGTGACGCGCACGATTCCGCATTCGAACTTTCAAACGGACTTGGTCGGCAAGGGCTGATCCGCGATCGATATTTTCTTGATAGAACGCATAGTCACTGGGTTGGTGGTAAATTTTGGTCGCCAATTGGCCTTGCTCCAGTCGCTTCGGGAGTTGCTCGTTAGCAGCTGCCGTTTTGCGTAGATTATCCGAGAACACGTCCGCCAGCAGCTCCACGAATCTCGAATCCACTGCTACCTTCACTGGAGACGTCAAAAGAGGCCGATCAGACGACACAGCTGAAGAGGAATCAGACGTTGTTCCGTCAGTTGGTGTGCTTCCGACTTTGGCTGCAAATTCAGCATTACCCACTGACACAATGTCCATATCCACTGGAGCTGAAGATGCCTCCTGCACAGTCTCTCCACTCGCAATCATTCTCTGCAACGCCTTCATTTGCTTCTTCACGCCTGCAATATCTGAATCGAGAACGTCAATTGTGGAGAGAATTTCTTCCTTTGACGGTTTTGCTGGTGCTACGTCGTCTTGTTCGACATCATCGGCCTCCGACATCTTCTGGTCTCCAGCCTTATCCACTTCATGAGTCGTCGAAGCTGCAGCTACACTTGCCTTTGGTTGCTCCTCCTTCTCTGGAGTAGATGTCACTGCAGTCTCAAGCTCAATAACCCCCACCTCCTTGCTATCTGAAACAGCAGTGACAGCAATTACAGACTCGACCACTTCATCTTTCACTTCGGGGTGCTGGTCATCCCGAGATGTCAGGCTATCCACAGCAGCTTTACCAGTCTTCCCTGCACTTACATCAGCAGATGTGTCGTCGTCTTCACCCAAAGTCTTCTCTTTCTCGCGCAAGGTGCTATCTTTCTGCTGCATTAGCCCTTGGCCCCATCCAATTCGAGGTCGCTTTGCACGCTGAGGTGGTGACTGGGCCACGAGTCCTTGACCCCAGCCCAAGCGTGGACGCTGTCGTTTCGTCGGTGTTCCATCTCCGAGAACAGTTGGTGATGACGTATCACGAATTGTATCACTTGGAAGCGGGATATTCGGTAGCGCTGGCATCTCTTCTCGTGGTCTCGAAGCTCGTGCATCGCCTGCATCTCGTCGACTAAGCAAACCGGAACAGCTCGTCAATGATTCTTTGCCCACTTGCGCTCGTTCAGTCATTGGAAATGATCTCTGGGAATGTCTGTCCATCATACTGTCCATTGATCCTGCTCGCAGCAGCTCTCTTTTCCCCACATCTTCTCTCCTCAAATTCTCATGAAATGTTCTTCTCCGTCCATCTGTGTTGCTCTCGTGAGGCTTCGGCGGTGATGTCTTGGAAGGAAAGGAAGACGTGGAGCGAGACGTCTTACTACCGCTAGCATAACCCATTGAACCTCCTTGTCGAGTTTCTGACGACGAGTGCGGACCGCGTCCCAACAGCGTCGAAAAAGACGCGCGACGGTCGAGCGCTGGGCGTCCACTTTGTTCTAACGAATGCGTGTGGGTCAAAGATGACGCCTCATCTCGCTGCTTATGAAAAGCTCCACGCTTGTCTCCCTGCGGTGTTTTCTGTGATAACTCCGAACCGAACAGTGCCTTGCCCTCTTCACGAGATCCGTCACGCCGGCTACCGTTTGGTGGGCCAAACGAAGAGAAGGATGTTGATCGAGGCTTACTATTGTCGCTGTACACATCAGACGACGGATCTGTTCTACTGCGCTCAAGCTTAGCCCGCTTTTCGCGAACTACGGGAGACATGCTGGCTTTGACCGTGTCCACAGCACGCTTTCCGTCCTTGCTATCTTCCGACAAACCGCTGCGTGGAAAGTCTGCCTCGCCGTCTTTTAAACTGGGAGTAATGATCGGAGTAACAGCACTCTCGACCTCCACAGAGCCATTCTCTACCACCATTTCACCCTCCTCAACTTCTTGAGTGTCAACATCGCTTTCGAAAACTTCCTGAGGTTCAGCAGCAGGCTTGGCGATAGAATCACCCGTATCCAGTTCCACGTGAGAATGTTCAGCTTCACTGGGGGTCGCCTCTTGAGCTGTACTCTTCTCGATTTCGCCATCGGCACTTTTCATTTCCACATCCACCGCTACCTGTGTCTCAGAATTTAAATGAACAGAATATTCCTCCTTTTTGCTCGAGCTATCACCTGCGTCCTTCATTTCAACGTCATCGTCTTTTGCAGAGGTACACGTCTCCTCAACAGCACAAGTATCTGCTTGCGATTCTTGCGTATGACGCTCTTTCATCTCTAATCTCCCTTCGTCCTCGATAGACGACGTAGTGGAAGTTGCTGCAGTCAAATCACTTAGCTTTAAACTGACGTCACCTTCGAGTTTTTGAGACGCAAGTGCCTGTTCATTATCAGAGGATGTCTTCTCCTTAGGTGAACCCATGTCATTTTCCATCGAAGCACACACCTCGAACGACTTCACGACCGTTTTTACCTCTTCTGAGTCCGATTTTTCAGCAGAATCAGACGAAGCAAGAGGAGGAGCGCTCTCAGTTTTCGCCTTGTGATCAATGCCATTCTCGGCTACGGCTTGCGTCTCCCTCGCACTGGCATCGCCGCCTGTTTCCATCACCTTGTCGTCCTCGTTAGCAGGTGCAGGTGCAGCTTTACTAGCGTCATTTAAGTCTTTGTCGTCAGCCTCTTTTTTAATGTCATCATGCACCTCCTCCTTTGTCTTCGTTGCAGACTCATCCCTCTCACTACCATTGGGAACCACACGAGGAGCCGCTAGCTGCCGCTCCGTTCTTCTTCTTCGTTCGGCTTCGTCAACCTCCGTCGACGCAGAGCGTGAGTGTGCACGTCTACGGTGTTCGCCACCTCCCATCGTCCGCCTCGATGATACCTCCCTCCTGTAAGGCGGAGACCTGTTTCCGTAGCTTTCCTGGTCAATCCGATAGGACGCATGGCTGTCAGTAAAAGGGCGAGGTGGCAACGCGGACGACGCTCGCCTCATACTCTCGGTCAAATCACGGTCCCCGCTTCCTGTTTCACTTGGCGTGAGTGATCCCCCTGACCTCTCACTAGTCGTAGCGTGAGCTTCCTCGGGCTTCTCTTCACCTTCCTCCGCACTCGCTGACGGCTCGCTGCCTCTGTAATAGTCGAAAGTAAAGCTCGACGTCCGTACAAGCGACATGGATCTCGTGTCTCGCTCTCTCGTTCGAGCACGGTATCCTGGCTCATAATCGCGCATCTGTCGGTCCCGGTAGCTACTTGCCATCGCTGAGCTTCCTTCACTGCTGCCTCTGTCTCGACTAATGGATCGGCGATGCGGCAAGGACACAGCTGCTTTGTATCGCACTTCCTTGGGGTAGAACCGATTGCCGCGCTGGAAGTTGGGGAATCGTCCGCCTCCGCGTCCTCCGCCTCTCGGCCACGAATCTCGCTCGCGTCCACGCTGTCGACTGTCGAAGCTACTTCCACGTCCCCGTCCAGAGGCAAATTGTGGAGCCCCTGAGCCACATCCACCTCGCTCCCAGTTGGCAAACGTGCGATGGCCTCGAGGCGAGAAAGATCGCGAGCGTGAGCGGGATCGGGAGCGCGGAGGAGACTTCGGAGACCGCGGAGAGTGTGATCTAGATCTAGACCGCGTACGTTGTGAGGCTCTGGAAGGTGAGCGAGACACCGAGCGGCCTCTTAAGCGCGAAAAAACACGTTCTCTCTGATACGGAGCTCCTCCGGCGCCTCCTTCGTAGCTCATTTGCTGACGCTTGAAGTAGCTTCCGCGCCCGCCTCCGCTACTACTGTAGGGCCTAGGGAAGCGACTACGAGGCGGAGAGCCGCCACGCCACTGCTGGCTATGACTGCTGTAGGCCGGAGAGCGTCCGGACTCAAGCGACTGGCGGTCCATCGAACTTCGGGACGACGAATTGAGTTGAATGATGCGACCTCTGGGCGGCGGTGCCTCGCCAGGCTCAGGCGGTGAGGCCCTGGACGAGTCCTCAGCCATCTTCTCTACACTGGGAGTCTTTGTCTGGGCGAATTCCTCTCGGCTGGGCTGGGGCGGCCTTCTCGCGCGCTCTTATAATGGAGGCGGCGACTACTTGAGGCAAGTGCGCAGGATTTGCATATGCCGAAACACAGGATTGCATCGACCGTTTTCTACACGATCACGCTCACCCCCCCCCCTGTCGCTCCAGTGTCCACCCAGGTGCCTCGTCCAATAGCAACAAGCCACGCCACGATCGAGAACAATAATGGAGCGAGCTCTCGGGGAGCCGGCGCTCGTGCTGTGCGGCGTCTGCATGGACAGCGAAGAGCACGAAGAGAGATGGATGCCGCTTCGTAGTGGAGACGACCAGGCGCTGCTGGTACGCGACGTGTGTGTTCGCCCGCACTGCCCGCGGCTGCAGGTGCGCGGTCACTTGTGTGTCAATCACATTCTGGAGCTTGAACTCGCGTGGCAGGGCAACTACAGCGTGCGTGCTTGCCATGGTTGCCGTGTGAGCGCACTGCAGATCTATAGCGACAAGATTGATGTATGGTTCATACTGGCCGCCAGCGAGCATACAACCGTCGCACATGGTGTAGAGCGCCGTGTCAAGACGCCGTTATCGGGTGCTTTGGCCATTTCGAACACGCCTGTACGTGCCGCGGCGGCTGGGAAGAGGCCGATTGGGAAGCGGCAAAGCCTCCGACGCAAGTCCAGCCGATTCATTAAGCAGCATGTGCAGAAAGAGCAAATGATCGCGCTCGAATGGAGCTTGGGCAACCTGCCGCTGGAAAAGAGCAAGCATCTTTGGAAAGATAACCGCAAACGTGTGGAGATGGAGAAGGATCCAGAGGCCTACTACGCGGCTGCTAAGCCACCGGTCAAGGAAGCGCCCGACGTGAACGCCCTACCGGAGCCCCTGGATACTTTCTGTGCCGCACTGGGATGTCAACGTTTTGCCAAGACTGACAACCGATGTCGCTTCCACTCGTCCAAGCCGCTCGTGTTTATCAAATCCGTGGCCAAGGCCAACGAGGCCAGTGCTTCGGCGAAGTGAAAATTAACAAGGACAAACAATTATGAAGGCGTACGTGCGCCTACCTGCCACTGTTGACCTAATGGTTACTTAAGTTATGACTCGAATTGGAGATAAATGCCGAGAAGACGCGCAACAGTGTCAAGCTGCACATGAAGAAACAGGACACGAATTGCAGTGAGCGTGGGCCGATGCATAATTCATTTGATTATCGCTATATTTTTGCGCACTTCCGTTCATCTTTCGAGCTACCCTTGTCTTTATCAACAGCAGCGAATACGAGTAGCATACTGCAGCGCAGTTTCTTTTTCAACTGGACTGATGTTTTATGGCAAATAACCGAGGACAACGTGGAATTGAGCAAAAGCAACGGTTAAGACTACTCCTACCATATCGACCTTAGTTCTTCAAGAAATCAGCTACTTCGAAGTACAAGAAACAACAAAATCTCAATACGATATGCAGCGGGTGTCTTCATTCCTTCAACGGCGACGATGCCAACGCTCGCGACGATTGAAGCCCATTCCAAACCCATTGCCGCCGCCGAAGCCATTACCGCCACCGGGTGCAGCCTCCACCTCCTGCGGCGCCTGCAAACCCGCTGTTGCCGGCCTGGCCGAAGCTACCCATTGCCCCTTGACTACCAAAGCCACCGAACGCATTGCCACCTTGCATTCCGAAACCTGTCGGCTGACCGAAGCCACCTCCACCGTTTGCATTCATGCCTCCGCCCATGCCGGCGACGGGACCACCGAACATGCCACCACCAGGAGCTCCCATCCGATTCACACCGCCGAATCCGCTCATCCCGTTTCCGGCAAACCCGGGGTTATTGCCAATCGCACCACCAAAGGCACCACCGTTTGCGGGGATTCCTCTGCCGGCGCTTGTAGCACCAAGCCCGGCTCCGAACGCGTTGCCGTTACCGAAGCCTGACGAGGGTGGAACTCCGCTCATGCCTGCGCCATCACCTTGAGGCGCAGTGACCGGTGCTGCTGGCACTTGATCGCCAGAAGCTCCTCCATTGGTCGGTGCTGCTGGTAGTTGATTGCCAGAAACTCCTCCATTTGTTGGTGCTGGTGTGGCTCTTGACCTACCATTTGACGTGGCCGCAGGGGTTGGAGCTGGCTGCCCACTCGGAGTCGTCGGGGCTGGAGTCGCAGGTCCAGGGGCGCCAGGCCCCGGTGCGCCAGGAGCACCCGGGCCAACAGCTCCGGGACCAGGAGCTGCAACAGCGTTGTTGTTCGAGCTTACGACAGCATTGTTGGAGCTCGCAATCACAGCGGATGGAGCGCTGATGGGAACTGGAATGAACTGCGGAACCTCAACAGCAACAGGTACCGGAATGGCGATCTTCTTGACTTTCTTGACGACTTTGACGTGATGGTGGTGATCCTTCCTGCTTTCGTCGTCTTCGGTTGCTTGGGAATCATCAGCGTTGGATCGTAAGCCACGAAGCGCAGGTGTCGCTTGAACTTCATTCGTGGAGACGAAAAGGCTCAGAGCGAGGAAGGTTGTGAATGCGGCGAGACTTTTCATGTCGAGTTGTCGAGTAGAGAAGGTGGTTGATTTGTTGCTCGCGAATTGAAGAGTGAGCAATGAAGTGGGGCTTGCCTACACGGTGATGTCCTCACGCGTCACGACATGTGGGCACAAATTGTGATAGGGGGTAAACGACTGATCTTCTCGCTGCGCTCGATTCCTCTCAGTCGAAATTGTGAACATCAGTGGTGATGGAGAATATGCTAGCGTTCGCAATGACGTCTTACATCCCGTGACTTGATACTGTATTGGTCGCTCCTACATATAGTTTGGGGAACAGCCATATATTAGCGTGTGCATGGTTTGCTACCGAAATGTGATACTCGATGCAACTAGCGGTTCCAGCCTCCTGCTATCACACAAATTATTAGTGAAGATAGAGCTGCGCGAGGCATTGCCGGGCAGCTCATCATGGTGAGGTAATTCTAAAAGGCAACTTGTGTGGTATTTTACTCATCCTATCTTACCCACTTTATGTGAAATTGTTCGACGCAATAGTGTACCGGGGCGTACTGTACGTGCAATTTAATAGTGCAGCTCAAGGGCAACTAACGTTAGTGCATTTTTTGGTGGCAATATGGCATTCTTTGAGCGACTCATTTGCAAAAGCGCAGCGTACGTCACATTGCCCCAGAACCTGACGCCTTCTGCATTTCTTTAATCGAAGATCTGCTACCGACGCTAACTAAGAAACGGAGCGTCGCCTCTCAGACAGTCGAAGTTGAGCCTGTACGTGGCAGCCCAGCGAAACGCGCTGCAAGATCTCAAAAGTAATAAGAACATTCGATTTTCTTAATAAGATATGCGATGCACTCAAGCCCCTCAAACTGCCAAATGACGACCAACACGACGTCAACTATCTCAAGTGCATAAAGTACTGAAAGCCTCCAGTCTGGTTTGCTGTCTCCAACAGTTAAAATTGAAAGGGAACTGGACGACTTTGTTGATCTTCGCGACAAAGTGTACAGTGGCATGTTTTTGGCTCACAGCGCACAGTATTGTAAGCTCTGCTCGGTAGAACTGGATGCGGTGGTGAATGGAGTCGACTCAGGCGGCGTGACCTTTACTCTGTTTGGCGTGAAGCGCGTCATGTGTAAGCTCTCGAAGTTCACGAAATATCTACTTAGGTGTACTGTGCAGCTGATGCTCAAGGTTGTTGCTTCGCACAAATTCTGGTTTCTCAAGCGGTGCACGCTTTCCTGTTCACACCAAGCGCAACCGCGGTGACGACCTAGATAAAGAGAAAAAAGAATACTGGCACCCAAACTTCTTCTAATCAACGATTTACATTCTTTCTCAATTGCTTTCAGGTATCACACAAACACAAATTATTCTCCATCACCACTGATGTTCGCAATTTCGACTGAGAGGAATCGAGCGCAGCGAGAAGATCGGTCGCTTACCCCCTATCACAATTTGTGCCCACATGTCGTGACGCGTGAGGACATCACCGTGTAGGCCAGCCCCACTTCATTGCTCACTCTTCAATTCGCGAGCAACAAACCAACCACCTTCTCTACTCGACAACTCGCCATGAAGACTGCTGCCGCGTTCGCTACCTTCCTCGCTCTGAGCCTTTTCGTCTCCACGAATGAAGTTCAAGCGACACCTGCGCTTCGTGGCTTACGATCCAACGCTGATGATTCCCAAGCAACCGAAGACGACGAAAGCAGGAAGGATCACCACCATCACGTCAAAGTCGTCAAGAAAGTCAAGAAGATCGCCATTCCGGTACCTGTTGCTGTTGAGGTACCGCAGTTCATTCCAGTTCCCATCAGCGCTCCATCCGCTGTGATTACCAGCTCCAACAATGCTATCGTAAGCTCGAACAACAACGCTGTTGCAGCTCCTGGTCCCGGAGCTGTTGGCCCGGGTGCTCCTGGCGCCCCTGGACCTGCGACTCCAGCCCCGACGACTCCGAGTGGGCAACCAGCTCCAACCCCCGCGGCCACGTCAAATGGTAGGTCAAGACCCACACCAGCACCAACCAATGGAGGAGTTTCTGGCAATCAACTACCAGCAGCACCAGCCAATGGAGGAGCTTCTGGTGATCAAGTGCCAGCAGCACCAGTCACTGCGCCTCAAGGTGGTGGCGCAGGCATGAGCGGAGTTCCACCCTCGTCAGGCTTCGGTAATGGCAACGCGTTTGGAGCCGGACTTGGTGCTACAAGCGCTGGCAGAGGAATTCCCGCAAACGGTGGTGCCTTTGGTGGTGGGTTTGCCGGAAACGGGATGAGTGGATTCGGCGGTGTGAATCGGATGGGAGCTCCTGGTGGTGGCATGTTCGGTGGTCCCAGCGCCGGCATGGGCGGAGGCTTGAATGGAAACGGAGGAGGTGGCTTCGGTCAGCCGACAGGTTTCGGAATGCAAGGTGGCAGCACGTTTGGTGGTGTTGGCGGTCAAGGTGCAATGGGCAACTTCGGCCAAGCTGGAAACAATGGGCTCGCAGGCGCGACAGGAGGTAGAGGTCAACTTGGCTTCGGAGGTGCTGCACCTGGTGGCTTCGGCGGCGGCAATGCGCTTGGAGGAGGCTTCGACCGCCGCGAGCGTTGGCGTCGCCGCCGTTGAATGGATGGAATGGAAACATCCGCTGCATAAGATTCCTTTGCTAGTGTATCGCTCATTTTCCTATAGCAGCAGTACTCAAAGAATGACAATTCAGAATAAATAGTAAACAAATAATTCCGTTTGAAGAAGGACCGCGTTCGTAGCAGTGATAAAGGACAATGCTGGATCTTCAGTGCAATTCGTTTCCTTTTTCTTTCCTTCCGCGATAAGCTGTAAATGCATTTACCGAGGTGCTTAGAGAAATTCTTGACTGCACTGAATTTGCCAAGTTACCGGTAATACTACTACTACCTCCGTTCTGAAAAAGATAACCATTTCAAATTATATTACAGCCTACCCAACAAAATACCCTCTCTATGCCGATCTTTTTTTGGATTTCGAATCTCCCGCGCTTTCCCGACCAGACTGGCTCCCGCTCCCAGCTTTCATTTTGTAAACTGGCACCTGGGGGAGATCACAGACAGTGAGCGCCAGGCCGTCTGGGAGACCTTACTGCTTCGCAGCGTGGGAGAAGTGGTCAAACATGGAGAGGTCGTTCGGGTTGCAGCGTACTTCCGTGTGGGCCGCCAAGTTGTCGAGCGAATTTGGAGGCGTGGAATCAATTCGATGGGAGATCGAGTAGCAGCCGTGGTCAAGTCAAGAAAGAGCGCATGTGGTAGGAAGAAGGTGGTTCGAGCTGAGCTGTGCGAGAGAATCGCTGCAGCTCCTGTCAATGAGCGCGAAAACCAGCGTCTGCTTCAGCGCGCGTCCAACATGAGCTGCTACCTGGTTCAGCAGCTGATCAAGGAAGGCAACATACGGCGTGCGCTCAGACAGACCCGCCCACTACTTACACCCACGCACAAGTTGGCGCGCCTCCGGCACAAGGACAAGCAAGTACGAGCTGGCACTCTCCCTACGTCACTGGCTTGTGACGCTACCTCACTCGCCAATGCTAACGCGTACATGCTGCTTCTTGCAGCGAGCAGCCCCCCACCGCCTACCGCTGAAGTTCCAGAAGCCCCACTGAGCGCCCCTTCAGAATGTGGCGATGTAGTTGCCGTCTTAGATCCGTTTTTGTATCTGTAGTTGTACGGCGGAGCAAGAACGCCTGTGCCTTGCTTAGTTTCTCACTGTGCTCTCGGTCGTAAAGCTAGCTAGCCAGCCTCTCACAAATTAATAAACGCTCAAATGAACGAGGCGGAGCGCTGCGCAAAAAAAAAAAATGGTTATCTTTTTCAGAACGGAGGTAGTAGTAGTCAGAGCACTCGGTAGTCTGATCAACGCACTATTGTACTGTACATGAAATACGGGGGTGCATTTCTCGTTTCGTTAAATAAGTACAACGGAACATGCTACGTGCTTCATTCTTGGCTCCGGAGATGCTGCACCTGGTGGCGGTAATGGCTTCGGCGGCGGCAATGGTCTTGGAATGGGCTTCAATCGTCGCGAGCGTTGGCGTCGTCGTCACTGATTCATACGGAGGCGCATACTCGCTGAGTAAGTAGAATTGCTTGGACCCCGTTGCGTGCATGATCTTGTTGCTGCTTTTCCGCTCGGCGAACGACATAAAATTTAAGAGAATTTTCAATGAATATTACAGTTGGTCAAAAAGAGGCAAATTTTCAGGTTACAACAGTAGTAAGTTACCTAGCGTTTTTTCTGGCGACTGTATCCATGCTGTTAAATACTGACCGTAACAGCTAATATCGTGTTAGGTTTGTGTTGCAGTTCCCCACATCAAGCCGGCACACAGTGTTTTCTACTTAGCCAAGCAAGCTCGAAGCCCTTCCTCGCAGCCCATGGAGGTCGCGTGGAGTCAGCTGCGAGAGGAGGCACGGCGCCTGGCGCAGGATATCGGTCAATCCGGACGTGAGCATCACTCACTGGCCAACAGCCGCGCCGTGTGGGACGCTATTCGCGTGCATGGCGTGCCATCCGAGCATCGCGAGTGGGTCTGGCCCATTCTACTCCACGATCAGAGCATGAGACTGCAGCGACAAGAGATAGAAAGCGGAGCCTCCTACAGTCAATTACTGCACGGTATGGCTGACGATATACAGGAGACCAGCAATTCACTGGAGCAGGCACAAGAGGAGGCGATGGAGAGGTTCCGCCACCTTAATCCCTTCCAGGAACGCAAGATCCGCCGCATTTTGCTCGCCTATGCCAAATCTAAGGACGCATTCTACTATTGCCACGGGATGGTTGAATCCTGTGTCGTTCTCAGCACGTTTCTGGTGGAAGAAGACGCTTTCTGGAGCTTCCGGATGCTACTGGAGGTGCTGTTGCCCAAATACTTCGATGAGTCCGTCGTGGATTTCCACACGGACTGTCTCGTACTGCAAGAGCTTTTTTGTGTCCATGACTCTGCGCTTAGCGACCATTTTGCGCTTCTGGGCGTATCCATTCAACTGCTCTGCACCAAGTGGTTCTTCTCCTTCTTCGCCGAGTCCATGCCGTTTGACGTCGTGTGTCGCCTCTACGATATTATGTTTGTGGATATTTGCAGTCGGCAATTAGGCTCCAAGATAATTTTCTCAACGTCGCTGTCGGTATTATTGTATCTGAGCTCGACGCTGGTGGAAATTCAGGATGTCAACGTGGTGCTGGACGTCATTAACGAGTTTTGCTGGGCGACGCTGAATGATTACTCGGTGGCCGAGTCGTTCCTGGATCTTATTAACTTTATGCATGAGCAAATTAACGACGACCAACTGGCTGCCTTGCGTCAGAAGTATAGAGCTCAACTAGCACAGGAAGAAGAGCAGCGGAAAACTCTACAGCGGAAAATTCAGAGAAAGATAAGCAGCAAGAAACTCAAACTGGAGAAGCAGGGATCGTCAGAGCAACAGGAGCATACGCGCAAGGGTAGAATTAACAGTATCAAGCTACTTATCCAGTGGAGGAAGCATATGGTCGATAACTCCGATGTGTCTTCAAGCCAAGCAAGGAAACGGAATAGCAGCAGGGTAAGTAGTAGCGACTCCAGTGACAAAAATCGCTGTGGTCGTCACAGCAGAACACGCAGTCGAGAACAGGAGAGTTCATCATCAAGCAGCGACGAGGACAGTAGAAGCGACAACGGAGAAGCGGGACTTGAGATCGTTACGACGCCGTCAGAGAAGGAGATGCTGGCCAGAGTGTATCAGGGCATCAGCAAGATCAATCGTAGACGATCACGGTCGCGTACGTCGTCATCCATGCGCAGCTTTTCGCTAAGAGGAGCCGATGGAGTGCTTCACCCGCTCTCGTCTCGTAGTTTGTCCCTCTCAAACTCGATACTTAGCACGACTTCGTCAACGAAAGAGGTCGATGAAGTTAGTGTAGCTGGCGATGGCGACCCAGAAGACGAGGACGCATTATGGGAGCGCTTACGAGTGTCAGGCACCCCAAAATCTGTTGTTCGACATAGCATGAGTGGTGTACCAGATGCACATCGATCGTGGATCTGGCCAGTTCTGATTAACCAGCTCCCAGCACCCTCAGACTTGCCTCGAAAACTTGCAGCGGTGAAAAATGACGATGAAGACGCGCTTTTAGACCGTGAGATCGCGAAATCGATCGAGAACGACATCACCAGGACACGGAATCTGCGCAATGATCAAGTCATTCCGATGCGTCGAGTGCTTACTGCGTTTGCTAATCGCAATCGTCGTGTTGGATACTGCCAGGGCATGAACGAGATCTTGGTGGTTCTTTTGCAGTACTTGGATGAGGATCAGGCGCTTCGAGCGCTTATTTTGCTGATTGAAGTGCTGCTACCTGCTTACCATGTGGACTCGATGATTGGACTGCATACGGACTGCGCAGTTATGAACACATTATTACGGCAAAACGACGTCGAGTTACACTCCCATCTCAACGAGCTAGGACTGAACATGGAGATCCTCTGCACAAAGTGGCTTGTGACGTGCTTTCTCACGTCTCTTCCGACTTTTTGTGGCCTCAAGGTGATCGACATGCTACTAGCTCGCTCAAAGGAGAAGCAGCGTGCGTCGCGTGTACTACTTGGAGTGGGGATCTCGATTTTCTTCACTTTACGTGAAACGCTGTTAGATGCGAAGGACGCCGGAGAGGTGCTGCTGGCGATCAACGAGTACTTCGCGCGGGAGATGACCAAGACGACGGTGGAGATGGACAAATTCCTTCACTTCTGTCTGATCATCACGGACCAATTGGAGCCTGACATTGTGGAGGAGTTCCGGCTAGTCCACAAGGACGAAGTGATGGAGCGGTTTGCTGCGTTTGAAGCCAAGAAGATCGAGATGCGACAGCAGCTTGAAGAAGCAAAAGCCAAGCAGCGGAAAGTGGCGAGTGCGCCGCCGTCACCTTCGAAGACGGAGCGCTTATCTACTCTCTCAGCGTCAGGGATCGCGTCGGGCAAGTCTAATGGCAACAACCGGATATCTGGGCTGTCTTCGTATATTAGCAACCCTCTGCGCAGCAGTGGAGGCAGCAAAACTACCGGTGCAGGAGACGACAAGGAAAGCCATAAACGCTACCAACGTGTCGACGTCCTGCAAGCTCACCACAGCTTCAGCGAGGATTTAGAGAAGATGGAAGACCAGCTGGAAGACCTGGCAGATTTATTTGTCCGCGGCAAGATCGACGAGAAGGAGCACTCGTGTATTCGGGCGCAGATTGTTCGGAAGTGGTGCAAAGGTATGAATTCACCGCAGTCTGCAATGGTTCGAGTCCAGTGTGTGAAGCACACGTACTGCGAACGCAGTGGTGGCGACGGATGTACGAACTCTGCGCCAGGATTACTAGAAGGACCGGTGCGAAATAGCTTCACTGGCGAAGCAGAGGGAGCTCATCGAGGGAGGAAAGGGTCTATCTCGCTGTACGGGCGCATGAAGAAGGCCCAGAAAAGTGCGCTCGCCATATTTAAATCCACTTTTGAATGAAAGGCGCCAATGCGTGCGTGGAAGAACGAGAAAGACATCATCACTCACTGCCTATAGATAGGAAGGTGTCATGATGGGATGCTCACTTGCTGCTATTCTTACTGGAACTGTTTTGTCGGTGATTTTTTTGAAGTGCAGTTTACATTGTTGCTGTCTCGCTGGTGGCACGAAACTCAGTGAATGCAGTACGACGCCTTCTTGGAAGAACTGCTACTGCGTGGGTCTCCTCGTAGTACTGCACCAGCACCTTCCCAACTTGCCAGGACATCGATGGAGCTGCCTCGAAAACGAGGTGGAAGGAGGAACAAGATCCCAGATTACCCACTCAACGCTCCATCGACGGTTGTGCGGCAAGCGCTCATCCCGAATGGCCCCGGGTCATACCCTAGTCAAGTAACCGCGCTTCACAACGTCCCGGAAGGTCGACAACAGAAAGCAAGTCGCCAGCAGAGTGACAATTGGGCTGTCAGGTTTTCGAACGCACACAAATGGCGTGAAATGGGATGGAATACGTCATCTCCAGCTGAGTATTTGCTACAGGCAAATAGCCAAGATTTTAAGCAAACACTGGCGTATGCAGAAGATTATATGCAGAGACAAGAGCTGTTGAATTCCACTGACTTCAGTACCGGAGTTGGAGCATGCAAGTCTCCTGCCAATACCTTTTCGAAAGCAGGATATTTCCCTCGATCTATAAGTTTTTCCAACACGACGACAACCGCCAGCACCCGCGGGATTGCTGAAGTTGGCTCAGCACAGTCGGAAGAGGAGCGAACACTGCTGAAGAACACCATGCTACGTGAAGGTTTGCTGGTTAAGCTGCACGATCTCATAAAGACCGCGAGACCTCCACAATCTCTGCTTCAGCCGCACGTTCCTCCGAAAGAACCAGTGTTTGACGTATCCAAGGGCACTGAGGTGCTTCACGTCCTGCTGCAATTACGTGACGTCGGCATCCTGGTGGTGGAAAATATTTTACGTTGGCACGAGTTGCGTGTGCGACTGGCTCCGATGGCTCCTCTTCTTCCATTTCGCTTCGAAAATTACAATTACTGCGTCAAAATGCTGTCAGATTTGAACTTTCTAAGCACCATCAAAAGTCTGGGCACCGTATTGGGTGTCAATCCATCCACAATGAAGCAGAACCCCTTCATGATGCCTGCCCCGATCCCGGAACGTGACTTTAAAGGTCTGCGTGACAAACCTTGGCGCAGCTTACGGCTGTTTACTAGCAGTGACGACCCCGTTCAGCGTGTAGCAGATGCGGAGAGGTATTTAGTGTGGTGTCTGTCCAACCTCCAGGATTTACCAGTACCGGCATCGCCTTCTCCAGCTCGTTGTGGTACGAAAGGCCTCTCACCGACATCTTTGATTCAACAGCAGAAGCGAACATGGCAACAACGAGCCGAGAAGCAGCTTGAAATGTTGTCGATGCCTTTGGAATCGCTATCTGGTCCAACGTACACCCAAGACTCGTCGAAAATGATGAAGAGGAAAGGGGTACTACCTTCACTCCCTCAGTCTCCTCCGAAGACACTGCGAGAACTTATGGGGAGTGCACATCAGAACGGATGCCAAGAGGAAGATTATGGTCGCGGTGACAACAACCGTATCATGATCCTGCGGGCTTGTTGGAAAGGAGAAGAGTTTGCAGCCAACGCCGCCGATTTCAAGGCACTTGGAGCACTCGACGCTCCTCCCCATCACATGGTGACACTCGTTGCAGCAAGTGTCCTCATCCTTCTCAGCCCGGCCGATCAACTTCCAAAAGATTTGTCCTGGCCATCATGTCAGAAGATGCTCCGACGTGGCGAGTGTTTAATTCAGCGAGTTCAAGTCTTCGATGTGGCAGAAGTGCCGGCTTTCAAGTGGAAGGCACTGGTGCCGTTTTTGCAGAACGAGCATTTCCAGCCCAAATTCCTTTCGCAATTCTCCTGTGCTGCCAGTAGCATGTGTGCTTGGATATTCTCCGTGCTGCGTGCAGCTCAGCAACAAGACTACGCGCGTTTGGGACTGCATACGAGTGGCGAATTAGATGCTGTGGGCGAAGAAGACCGTCTCGAACTGCTTTCCGAACTGGAAGTCGACGCTGCCTCGATCCCGTCCGCCAAAAGCTGTCCTTCTCTGTGGGAGCCTACAGAGGAGAACGAATCACAACTACCGCCGCTATCGCGCTCAAAAAGTGGCAAGCGCGTGAGTATCGGGAGCGCGGAGGTTCTCTTTATTAACGAAAACCAGCCTGTGAAGATGAGTACACCACGGATCAGCTCGCGTCCCTTGTCACGACGCAGTGAGCGCCCTGCAAGCAATAACCAATTTACAGTCTGCAGCTTATACAGCAGTGGGCCGAGCAACGCTCTTCTGCGCACCAGCCCGTGGACGTATCGCGGCGTAGTCTACTTCGTGTCTTTTTTCCTCCAAGAGCGATCGCAACAAGAGGAGGAAGCGATTGAAGAGACGGAAGAACGTCGTCTGATGATCAAGATCTACGAGCCCATGAGCTCCGTAGAGTCACAAATGTCGGTGGACACTGAAGACTTGCGTCAGGACTTTGGCGTTAAAGCATTGGTGGCGTTCCAGAGTGGACAATACCGAACTCTGTGTGATGTTATGCTTCGGCAGCTTGACAAGATGATGGGAGCTGATAGCAGAAAACTTTCTCTAGTAACTCCACTAGAGCGGAACGGTGGCAAACGAAAGCAAGAGAGTGTGTTGGATTTGCTGCTACAAGACTCGGAGAGTGATCACGGCCAAGAGGAGAGACCCGAGGTTGTCGACGAGTCAGCAGCAGAGGACGCTCCACAGTCTCTTGAGCCTGAAACAACGCTAGAACTTGATGAATTAGATGCCTCGGTACTGAAAATCCAGTGCGCAGCTCGACAGCAGCAAGCTCGTGGGAAGGTGAATCGTGCACGGGCTCAGAAGGAGCAAATGGAGGCGTCCGCGCTGCGGATCCAGTGCGCTGCACGGCAGAAACAAGCTTGCCGAAAAGTTGATCGCGTGAGAGCCGAGAAGACGATGATCGAGGCGGTGCCTGAGGGTGAAGAGCTACAAGCTGACAGCGAGGAGTTTGCAACAGATGAAGTAGAACAACAACTGGAGAATGTTGTAGTGCCAGAGTCGCGACCTGGCACAGTGATGAGTTACGCCTCGGACCAATTTGAGGACGACTTTGAGGCGGCGTAAAGTGATCGAACAAATGATAGCAACTAGACATTCCCATTCATTATCAAACGATCGCCTCGTATCATTCACACAGGTACAGCCATTAGTTGCTTCGTTCCGGGCTGCATCATTGCTTGGGACGAATCCTGATTACGACCTTGTCAAATGTGTTTTTTTATTGGCTGCTGAAGCAGCTTGACCATCACTCTGCTTCAGTTTTGTGGCTACTACTGTACGTCCTTCCGAAGCAACTTGCAAGTTGCAAGGCAATCACTTCCAAAGTTTACTCCGCAGCGAGACTCGAAGGCTGTATTGAATCGCACAATGATCTCGCGCACGCACGTATTGGGCGTGATCGGCGGCTCCAGTCTCTTTCACGCCAAGAGTTTCTCCTCAGGTCTTGTCGAGCAGGTCGTGGAAACGGAGTTCGGTGCTGTCGTGTGCCACGTCGGCACGTGGCCGTCAGGCTCGCAGGACGAGACATCACCCGCTCTTCAGCTCGTATTTGTGCAACGCCACCACGCGGACCCGGACGGAAAATATCGCCAGCCTCGAAAGATCAACTTCCGCGCCATCGCGCTGGCGCTCAAGTCACTGCGGTGTGAGGCCGTGGTGGGCATCTACTCAGTCGGCTCCATGACGCCTAAGGTTGGCGTGGGGCGCTTCGTGGTGCCCGAGGATTTTTTCAGCCCGTTTGACATCATGCACGTGTCCAAGGATTATGACGCACACGTTGTTCCTGAGCTCCACGCCAAACTCAAGACCGCGCTGGTGCAAGCGCTAACAGGTGGAGGCTTCGACCCGCACGACGGCGGCGTCTACGTGCAGACGGCAGGACCGCGCTTTGAGACCAAGTCGGAAGTGCGCTTCTTCGCGCAGTTTGGCCAGCTCATTGGCATGACGGGTGCAAATGAGGCCGAGTTGCTTAATGAACTACGTGTGCCCTTCGCCATGTTCTCCATCGTGGACAACATGGCCAACGGTATGGGTGACCCGCTCACACTCGAGGCTTTCAAGGCTACGCAAAAGGCCAACGCTGACCTTATGGAGCGTGCATTCGTGCACACGTTGAACGAGCTGGCGTCCACCAAGGCGCTGGCCTATCTCGCCTCCTCGACTTGAAGACACGAAAAGTTTGCTTGGCATTAGAAAAGCAGTCGACAGCTCGTTGCGCATAGTTATTAGCCCTGAAAGCCGATCATCTAATATATCAACCACAGTCTCTTTAACAACTTTATGAAATAGACCAGGCTTAGAGAAATTGATAAAAAAAATCTACAATAATAATACACTGAGCTAGAAATTTGCCCTGTAATATTATATTTACAGAATTTGATAAAAGAATTTAAAATAATAATACACTGTGCTACAAATTTGCCGTTACATGCAGAGAAAGAGGACTTATTCAGAAGTGCCGAGCGAATATGGCGCATCAGGATGAATCAGACGTAGCGTTCATGCGACTGGCCGTCGCAGAGGCACATCGCTCGCAGCCATCTGAAAACGCTTATTGTGTGGGATGCGTTGTAGTAAGGGACGGTCTGGTGCTGAGCACCGGGTTCTCGCGCGAGCTGCCGGGCAACACTCACGCGGAGCAGGTGGCGCTACACAAGCTTAATTTTGAGGCGCAGGGGGCCACCGTCTACACTACCATGGAACCATGCAGTACACGAGTATCAGGCAACGTGCCGTGCGTGCAGAGCTGTCTTCGAGCGGGTGTCGCGCGTGTGGTAATTGGAGTGATGGAGCCCAAGACGTTCGTGATCTGTAAGGGGGTGCAGCTACTGCAGGAGGCGCGTGTAGACGTGAAACTGCTTAAAGGACTCGAAGCCGACTGCCTTGCACCAAATGCACACCTCAACCTTGTCTTCTAGGAAGCTGCAGATTTGATAATTGGGAAGATGTCAATATTCAGGCGAATTGTGCCCTCGATTTATCGCATCACAGGTGTCGTTGAAAAGTATACTAAGTGGGCGGACGAAATGTGATGGCTGTACGAACATGTTTGATTTACATCTCATCAGTGTTGTTCTCCATCAAAGCCAAATTTATGATCTACTTGTGTTGAATCACTTTCGACTGAGAGGAAGCGAACGCAGGAAGAATTTAGGTCTATTACGATCCAGTGAACGCGGCTAAATGTCGTGACGGGTGACGCCATCGTCCAGTTAAGCAAACCCTCCTCGTTGTCCATTCTCCATTTTCCGAGCAACAAACCAACCACTTCGCCTTACAACTCCCACGCATAGCCTACATGAAGACTGCTGCCGCGTTCGCTACCTTCCTCGCTCTGAGCCTTTTCGTCTCCACGAATGGAGTTCAAGCGACACCTGCGCTTCGTGGCTTACGATCCAACGCTGATGATTCCCAAGCAACCGAAGACGACGAAAGCAGGAAGGATCACCACCACCACCACGTCAAAGTCGTCAAGAAAGTCAAGAAGATCGCCATTCCAGTACCTGTTGCTGTTGAGGTACCGCAGTTCATTCCAGTTCCCATCAGCGCTCCATCCGCTGTGGTTGCCAATTCCAATACTGCTGTCGTAAGCTCGAACAACAACGCTGTTGCAGCTCCTGGTCCCGGAGCTGTTGGCCCGGGTGCTCCTGGCGCCCCTGGACCTGCGACTCCAGCCCCGACGACTCCGAGTGGGCAACCAGCTCCAACCCCCGCGGCCACGTCAAATGGTAGGTCAAGACCCACACCAGCACCAACCAATGGAGGAGTTTCTGGCAATCAACTACCAGCAGCACCAGCCAATGGAGGAGCCTCTGGTGATCAAGTGCCAGCAGCACCAGTCACTGCGCCTCAAGGTGGTGGCGCAGGCATGAGCGGAGTTCCACCCTCGTCAGGCTTCGGTAATGGCAACGCGTTTGGAGCCGGACTTGGTGCTACAAGCGCTGGCAGAGGAATTCCCGCAAACGGTGGTGCCTTTGGTGGTGGGTTTGCCGGAAACGGGATGAGTGGATTCGGCGGTGTGAATCGGATGGGAGCTCCTGGTGGTGGCATGTTCGGTGGTCCCAGCGCCGGCATGGGCGGAGGCTTGAATGGAAACGGAGGAGGTGGCTTCGGTCAGCCGACAGGTTTCGGAATGCAAGGTGGCAGCACGTTTGGTGGTTTTGGCGGTCAAGGTGCAATGGGCAACTTCGGCCAAGCTGGAAACAATGGGCTCGCAGGCGCGGCAGGAGGTAGAGGTCAACTTGGTTTCGGAGGTGCTGCACCTGGTGGCTTCGGCGGCGGCAATGCGCTTGGAGGAGGCTTCGACCGCCGCGAGCGTTGGCGTCGCCGCCGTTGAATGGATGGAATGGAAACATCCGCTGCATAAGATTCCTTTGCCAGTATATCGCTCATTATCCTGTAGCAGCAGTACTCAAAGAATGACAATCCAGAATAAATAGTAAACAAATAATTCCAGTCGAAGAAGGATCGCGTTCGTAGCAGTGATAAAGGACAATGCTGGATCTTCAGTGCAATTCGTTTCCTTTTTCTTTCCTTTCGCGATAAGCTGTGAGGTGCTTAGAGAAATTCTTGACTGCACTGAATTTGCCAATACTACATGTAGTAGTCAGAGCACTCGGTAGTCTGATCAAGGCATTTTAAAGAAGCATTGTACTGTACATGTAATACGGGGATGCATTTCTCGTTTCGTTAAATAAGTACAACGGTTCATGCTACGTGCTTCATTGTGTTATGTTATAATTGAGGCTTTCCTCAGCAAATATTCATTTATACACTAGCCACCACTTTGGGAGCAAGCTTGAGCGCTTCTTCCGTCGGAATTGCCCGGAAATTATAAAGCTATTGGTGCTCATGGACTAACTCAGCTGCAACTCATTCTAACTTACGTTACTCGATTTCAGACGCCCATTGTGAGAGACTGCAGAGTACAGTGCTGAGCATCCCCTTGACGCTTTCTTTTCCTCGCAGAAGACACGATCTCTAGTTGCAGAGGCATCACTTCTCGGCGAATGTCCCTGCCATTACCCGCTAGCGAGCTACTAAGGTATTCCAGAGATCGCGACGGGGAAGTATAGCGTGGCCGACCCATCGTAGTTTCGATACTAGCGTAATGTTGCTTTCGCTTTCTCGACGGTGCCGGGATTGGGGAAAGCGTCTGGAATATCTTAGCAGCACCGCCATCCGACTCGGACTCTGTTGTGATGTCACTGATGGCATCATTTGGACTTAATTCTTCTGGGCTGGGAGGATCGAGAACGATTTTGGAGCTGCTACTTGCTATCGAGTTGGTAGTTGAAGGACTCTTCTCGTTCTCGGTCGGCCGACTTCGAATTTCCTGCTTCTCCATCACATCTTGAACGTGACTGGCAGGTTGCACGTCACTCCCACCTTTAAGACTGCTACCATTTGGCCTCGTCTTGGGCTTTGACGTCGGCTTAGAGACACCAGGTTCCAGTGCACTCAAATTCTCGCGTTTCTGAACAGGCGATGCATCCCGACAGTGCGAGCAGAACCAGTCTCCTTCGGGGACATCTAAGAGAGCCGGGCGTACACAATTGAGGTGGTAGGCCCGCTCACAGCCATCACAACACAGTAGCTTGCCTCCTTTCAAGCAGATTCCACAGAACTCGAGGTGCTGGTCTGCCGCAGGACGTTGTTGAGCGATTCGCTTGGCTTCCCTCTTTCTCTTTTTCTCCCGTTGCCCGTCGTGCCATTTCTCGTACTCGGGCGCTTTCTTCCAGAGGTAAAACTTGCTTACTAACTCTCGAGTTGCCACATTGGGAAATCTCCGCTATTCAACAGAACGACTGCAAGTCAGCAACAAACTCATTATGGGAAACCTTCCCTCGTTTTGGGTACCTTGACGAGATGAAACTTTTTCCCGTGTCTGTCCATGGCTCTCTCAAATGTTATTTTTTGTATGCGTTCTGCCTCTTCTCGTTTTAGTCTCAGTTTCTCGTGACGAGCGTTGTGGATGAATTCCACAGCTTTAGGTACGTCATAGTCCGCTTCAAATAAGGATTGCAGTGCCTGGATGCACCCAAAAGTCAGCAACACAATTTGCGACCCACTCTTTGTTTCAGAGTTCGACTCACCATCTCCGTCTCTTTTGGCCACGCATACGTTCGCACGAATTCTACAATCTCGCCGTTGAGAAGTTTTGGCTCTCTACCGTCGCGCCAGCCCCATCGCTGTCGGAACCGTGGCAGGCAGAGCCGTCTGTTGCGCTCCTGCTCGGCTGCTGACAGCAGCACTGGGATTTCTGCTCGAATATCGCTGTCTTCTGGCGCGGACGCCATTTTTCGGATTGATGACACCCTTTTTGCTGATTTCTGTTGGCTCTTATCTCGGGTTGTGAGAAATGAGAACTGTCCCACCTGTTTTTATACCCAAAAAAGGAGTGGAAAATTGAATGCTCGTCAAATCGATGACTGTCTCCTCTACCAAAAGCTCCAGATTGTTCCGAGCCAGCTCAAAAATAGTGGACTGAAATTACCAACTGTCATCAACGTTGGTATTACCAACACGAAAGCAACAATTTGTCTTGTTGCCTTGCTAATAATTCGTACTACAGTAGTATTATATTATTAATAGCTGTCGAATCGAGACGGCGGAATATGGCGCGGAGCCAGCATTTTCCGATGCCGCTTTCGGCCTGATCCCGGCCGCTCCAACTGCACGGGTAAGGCCCTCATGGCCCCAACAGGAGATGCTTCCACAGAATGTTTTATCGGCGCAGCACTACTTGGCTCACTCGGGATACATGCGTCTGCCCCATCGCTCTTCCTTTTAGCAGCGGGTGAACGCGCAACAGGACCGGACGTCAATTCTGGTTTGTTGCTTCCGATATTGTCGTTTGCAGGGGATGTTGATGGGATTCTAGCAGCGGTACTATCCGACTCGTTGTCTGTCAGACTTCCAGAGTTTAAGCTCAGCTCATTTGGGCGCGGACACTTGGACGCATTGTCGCTATTGTCACTTTCAGCGCTAGATTCAGACCCGACAGTCTCGTCACCCGAGTAGCTTTCCTGTTCGTCGTCTTCCTCGTAGCTACTGGCATCTGTCATCGACTCGGTCAACGGACGTTGGAGACCAGGTGGTATGGCGTAGGTCATGCAGTGCTCACTTTGATCGCTCGACGTCAGCTTCGGCTTGGATCCACCAAATTCTTCTTGGCAATGCGAGCAGAACCAGTCTTCATCTTTTCTCAGTTTTGTAATCGGTGGCTGAGCACAGCTGATATGGTAAGCACGCGGGCATCCGTCGCAGCAGAGCAGACTACCTCCAGTCGCGCAAAGCTCGCAGTGCCGATTGTGATAGCCCAGGAAGGCGTCCGTGTCGGAATCCGATTCGTCGGCCCATTGGCGCAGTCTCTCCGCTTCCTTCTTTGTTTTTCTGCGTTTCATCGTCTTTTGCTGTCTCCACCACTCCTTGAAATCATCCGTGCGTTTCCATAGATAATATTTACTCACTACTTCGCGCGTTATTGCTTTTTCTCCAAGAGATTGCTGCTCAAATATAGGTCCATGCAACAACCACACGGGTGGGTGTCATGACTGAACGATATAGACCTTTCTAATTATTGCCGCACGCACCTTCACGAGGTGAAACTTCTTGCCGTGTGTCGCTATAGCCTTCTTTAATACTTTAAATGGTAGGCGTTTGTCTTGATCACGTCGCGCTTTGTAGCTCTCTCGGCGTGCAGTGTGCAGCAGCCCCACAGCCTTTGGCACGTCGAACTCTCCATCAAACAAGCACTGGAGCGCCTGCAACGTATTGCAATTAGGTACAATATTTGCTAGGAGCACAGTGCTCTACTTTGCCACCGAACAAAACGAACCAGTTCCTTTTCTTTGAGCCACGAAAATTCCGTGAGGAACTCCTCAATGTCTTCAGCCTCCAACACCGACGTCTCTTCTGTGACTCGCCGCTCGCCCCACCGTTGACGACATTGCGGTGTATAGAGTACTGCATCTCGCTGTTCCTGGGATAGCATCGGCGGGATCTCAGCTCGACACGCAGCAGGCTTCTTCGCCACCATCGAGATCGCGTTTTGTTGAATTAAAATTGATGCTTCAAGACTGGAAATAAATTACAGCAAAAATAAACTAAATTACGGATAATTTTTTCGTTTTGAAATATTTTACGTAACTTCCGCTTTTCCTCTGAGGACACTCCGATCAAAAAATAGCTCAACGCGCAGGCTGCTCGAGACGCAACTTTGAAGCTGAATGTTGTGGTGCAACTCATTTCGAAATAGCTCGATCTGCGGCAACAAGACACCATGGCGATATCCTCTCAGTCCGGCGCCGTAATGCCGGTAGCAGCTGCCATGCTGCTGCAGAACCAAGATGTGACGCCCGCGGTGGAGGAGGCGCTACAGCGCCGCGAGCGCCGTCGTCACCAGAGCCGGGTGAGCCAGCGGCGCTACCGCGACAAACAGGGATCCGCGGAGTACAACCTCAAGCTGGATGTCAACAACCTGCGTGAGCACGTACAACGTTTGCGGTTCCTGCGGGAACTGCTAGAGACCAAGGTCTGGAGCACCCGCTTGGCGCACGAGGGGGCCGTGGTGAAGGCTGCCGAGCAATACTACACCGTCTTCTCACACGGAATGCACAATCCCGAAGCCGGCGGCGACCACGTCCGCAAGTGCTTTGACATGCAGGTGGGCTTCGTCAACGCGTTCATGGACACGGACGTGGAGTTCGGCGACTCGCGTGGTGTCTCGGCTGTACTGAATCAGTGGCATCTGTATACGAAGTTCCACGCCACTTTGTCCGTGCGCATGCTGTCGGCTGAGGTTTATGGCACGGAGGACGTTCCAATTGTCGTAGTGAAGGGAGTGCTCGCAGTCCGGATGAACCGATCGAGCATCGAGTACATGTTCCCACACATCATCGCGAATGAGGAGCTGGTGCAGGTGCTGCTCAGCCGCGAGATCGAGTATCCGACCTCCACCACATACGTGTTCAACTCACGCTCGCAAGTGGAGCGTCAGGATCTTGATGTTGACTTTTTGGCCGGGATCAACCACTGCTTGGGCAGCACGTATGCCTCCTCGCGCGTTATGCAACGTGCACTCATCTCGGACTGTTGTAAACTCGGCCAGGTCTCCACGGGAAACACCAACGACGACTCGAGCCTCCATGCGGCCTACATTGTATCTTAGGATGACATAAAAGGCTAAGGCCTACGTAGATGATCTCCCGCGGCTAGCCTCTCTTTAATACAACGAAATACCATCGAGATCTTGAGATTGCCATTACGTGCCGCTGCTACTGTAGTATTTCAAATAATACTAATGACAGCAGATGACTCAGCTCTGTCCTTCTTTGTATCGACATCGGACAGCAAGTTATTACAAGTAAAGATGGCACCGCGTCCGACGCCGTCAAACAATTCGCTAAACACGCAATACTTTTAGGAAGGCACTTTCACGTTACGTATTTCCTGAAGATATTAAGACACCGTCGATCGGCCTGCGGTCATTCGTCCAGCATTGCTTTCACATCCAAATACTACAGTACTACGACTTATAAACAACTTACTCGGGACCGTGCGCGTGTCAGGTCATGATATAGCTCAGACTTGCTCGAGACCCACCACCTTGCCGGGCCTGGCCCAGCTCGCGCTCCACCATACTGCATTGCCGCCGACCGTCCGAGGTATCGTCCTCCACACTCGCACTGAGCTTGGAGCCTTCTCTGAGCAGTGCGCCCTGCAGTACGCGCGACGCGTCAATCGCGCTGCCGAATAGATTGCTAATGCCGCCAAGGAAATCCACGATCCATTCCATGCGTTCGACCTGTCCGCGATCGTTGAAGGAAAAAGTGGTGGTCGTCTGGTACTCGATCACGTGGGTCAAAAGCATGGTCAAAAGCTCCGGCTCCTCAAGCGCACGCGGGAAAATCTTCTCGAGTGTCACTCGGTTCATTTGCACCGTGAGCGTGCCTTGTGCCACGACCACTGGCGAGTTCGTAGAGCCGAAGACGTCAGCCGACACGAAACCAGTCTCGATCCACGCGTGGAACTGCGTATAGCGGTGCCATTGCTCCAGCAACTCCTTTAGCCCATGCGTGTCGCCGAACGTCACGTTCGGGTGCAGGAAGACGCGGAGGAAGTCCAGCTGCATCTCGAAGCCCTTGCGTACGTTCTCGCCGCCCGCCTCGGGGTTGTGCAAGCCTTGCTCGAACACGGCATAGTATTGCTCCACAGCTTTGAGAACAGCGGCATTCTGCGATAGCTTGGAGCTCCAGAGCTTGGTCTCTAGCAATTCGCGCAGGCCCATGAGCGATTGCACGCTCTCGCGCAGACTGTTGATATCCAGCTTGAGGTTGTACTCGGTCGAGCTCTTCTTGTCGCGGTAGCGCCGCTGGCTCACACGGCATTGTTTGCGCCGCCGCTCAAGGCGTGTGGCCTCGTCCAGGGCTGGAGCCGGCTCGGCCATGCGTGCTTATTGTCGATGCGCACCACAAGGCAAAATGGCTAATGGAAGCGTAGCATCATTAAAGACCGGCTCCGGAGAAGGTGCGGCGACAAGAGACGCGCGCCGTCCCTTATGTCTCGTTTCGCACGCGAGTAGAAATAGAATCCGTGAAAGAAAACTGGTACATGTAGCTGAAGCGTTATCGTTTTAACTGACTCAGTGTCTCGCACAAGATCTTGGGCTGGCCGGGTGAGATGATCTCACGCGGCCGTGAGGATAGGCCCGACTACCGGTAGTGCTGTATCTTACCGTTTTGGCTGATCCTGCAATTTTATTGCAGAAGCAGTAGCAAGTTAGTTGCAACTCAGTCGCTACTATTCAGTCTGCAGCCGACAACGCTTTACGGCGGCGACGTGCAATGAAAACAGACACACGTGCCATGACGCCCAGCCCAGAAGCGCGCGTGTGCATGCAGCAGCGGCCTCTATCGCCATTATTAATTACGGCAACGTCGTGTATGAAAGGGATGTATGAATAACCAGAGACGCTAGGGCGATCAGACAAACGCCGATTGACCACCAGCCTCAAAGATATGAGAGCGTTGTTTGCCACAAAGGCGCGCGCCGTCCAAAAGGGCATCCACTTGTTAAAGATCAGTTCAGCAGTAATTCAACCCGTTACACAACACTGCTCGCTGAGCTCATCAAGATGGTCGAGCACATCTGAGATGACGTGCGGGTCCTTACCGCCCGTTCACACGTACGAGTCGATATCTGTGAGCATGCAACGGAATCGAAAAACGACAGCGTTGAGGCAGGAAAGAACACGACAAAGATTCCGCCAGATCATTTCGCATTGTACAAGAAAATCCTTTCGTTCAAATTCCATTATGCCACGTACGTTGAATCTGCGGTATGTACCACTATGAGGCGGGCGGTATTCACTTTCTCTATTTCCAGCGGCCAGTTACTCAAACGTTGCAGCATGGGTCCGTTGGGTACACTTGTCGGACGTTGATGTTAATACGTTGCGAGCCCAAATACGTGCGAACGGCTTCGTATTGCTCACGGTCATCATTGCTAAGTGGAAGTGCGTCAAGTTCCTTACTCTTCATACTGAACGGAGTGGGAAGTACGCGAGCCACGCCATGATAGCACGTCCGGGATGCTCCACCCATAATTGCAATATCGCCGCTTCGTAGCAATATCTCTAACGGTGCCTCGTCCTTGGTGTGCCCGCCCATGAGGAACACACACTTACTGCCAAGCGATAGCGAGACTACGGGATGATCCATCGTGTACTCAACGTCGTCGAGATGACCGCCCATCGACGACTTCGTTTTATAGTAGTTGACGATCACAGCCTCGGCCTCTAGCGTCATACCACATACAGCAGCGCACTTTGTACCGAGTTGTTGAAGTAGCTCAGGAACGGGAGAAAAGCTGCCTTTATGATACTTTCGCGCTGTCCAGTCGTAGTGATATCCTGAGGCCGCCCAGCAAAGTTTCGCGAGCAGCGGAGACTCGGCCGGATCCTGCGGGTGCGAATCACACGCCTTACGCCAAATGTTCGGCACTTGCTGGTTCTGCAGATGCATGTTGGTCACGTGCGGTTCCTCCGCAAAATCGGTCCTGGAAAGAGGAAGAAGTGGTCAGCTTTTACTATTGGGAAGTGTGTGGTCGATACAGGCGCTACAGCACGCGTACAGGCAAGCGTGGGCAAAAAGTAATTGTGTCTTCGCGTCAATAGCGTTGGAGATGACGCAGAATCCGCGGTGTGAGGCGCCAAAATCATCGAAGGACAACACGGACCGCTCTTCGTCCTCCGGACCCCATTTCCATGAGCCAATGCGCCGCACTTTCGTCTGCTGCTTCTTGTTAAGACTGCGCGGGTCCAGTAGCGCTGTGTCATGCAGCAAGTCATCGTCTGTCACCCGCTTCCAGCGCTTCTCCGTCACCTTGTACGCTGCCACCATCCTCACCGTTGAATGGCGAGTTCATAGATGCTAAAAAAAATGCAAGCATTTGTCAAAAAGAGGGGGGATCTCAGCGGATGTTTTGTGCAATTATGCTAAAAAAGGTGCTGTCATTTAAAAAATGCTGTCATTTTAAAAAATGCTGTCATTTTAAGAAACGTACAAGCACCTCATAAAAGAGGGGCTTTTATCTTAACTGATATTCACCAACATTATTTTGTTTTGTAGATATCTCGTGCTGTAGTTGGCAAGAACGGAGATGCAAAATACAGGAACTACTGCAAGCTCGAGGTCAGTGGATTTCGAGTTAAATTTTGTTCTGCTACAGCTGAGCCAGCACGCTACGATTAAAATGCACTTAGCTTTTGCATCCTCTATTACAACTTGCACGTCCTATCGTACTTAAGGCTGCCGGTACGCACCGAAGCTCAAACAAAGCGGACTGATCCAATTCCTGATACTGTATTAAAAATACATGTGTTATTTTAGCTCAAGTTTGCAAAATAAGCGAAATTTATTAAAGGTAGCAGAAAATAGCTTAATTTTGCAAAATTAGCAAAATTTATTTAAAAACTTACTACTACGTAGTATTAATACTTTTGAAAAGAGTTTAGCTGATATTTACCGAGATCCCGTTTTTTGGCACTTACCGTATGGATAAGAGGAATCGACTGCTGCAAGGCTTTGGTGCGAGAAAGAGCAGTGTGTAACGCGCCGTGTTGGACTCACATTGCTCCGTCTAACGAGAGCATTCACTGTAAGATGAGCGGATGTCCTAACCAGCAATAAAATGCCACGTCTTTATATTACTCGCCGATGCCCTACATGTGACAACCTCCTAGCTTTCTCGGCAACCTTGGTCCCCTCACGCATATTTATCAATCGACAGCCAACACACCTACAAACGCATTCCCGACGGGATGTCTAGAGCAGCAGCACGGTACATGCCGATATTGTCGCCAACGTCAACCCTGAAATCAATATTTCCACGGCGTCGCTGCTGCCACTAGCGGCGTCTTCTGACGACGATTGCGAGGCTGTCGAAAGTGACGGACAAGGGGTTTTCACCTTAAGTGAGGGACACGGAGCCGACACGGAGCCGTCCGATGACATTGATGCAGTTTGAAGCGAAGGGCATGGACTCTTACCGGCACTGCTACTGCTGTCTCCGCTTTCGCTGAATTCGGTGCTAGAGCTGCTGGCAAGTGACGGCTGCGGAAGCGACGGGCACGGCGTCTTGGCTGTCGGCACATCGGTTGCTACCGGCATCTCAGTTGCTGCCGGTGATTCTGTAAATGCAGGGTCCTCTATTGCAACCGGAGCTTCAGTAGATACAGGTGCCTCAACTTGAGGCTCAAGTGCAGCCGGAGCTTCCGTCGCGGCCGGTGCTACTGGGGCGTCTGTCGGAGCTGTATCTGTAGTCGGCATCACTGGAGCGACGCCGGTCGCCTGGGGCAGCGAGGGACATGGGGTCTTGCCCGTATCGGCATCCGAAGCCACAATACCGGCGTTACCTGCTCCTGACAGGTCTGTTGTGCTGAAGGTGATGTCGGCGCCTACGTCATAGCTCAGTGTCACGCAGGCCATCAGTAGAATCACGAGTTCGGTTGTCACGCGCATACTCAGCTCCGCTCGGTGGGGGGCGGAGATTGTCGAATGGCCGTGCACAGGCAGCGATATGCGTGAGGTTCTCGGTCAGCATTCTGCAGAGACGAGCGGGTGAAGTACTTGGGTGCGGAAAAGCAGCTGGTGTGCATTCTGGTGGTTTTAAGTTAAATTCCGCTTTACATCTCTGGTACATTTGAAAGCTGCGGCTTTTTATCTAAAAGTGAAAACAAATTCTACATCCCAGGTCTATTTTATTTAAATAGACGTTAACGAGAGAATAAGGAGATTGTCCATGTTTAGAAGAAAGCTAATTGTTTCCAGACCATCTTTTAGTTTTTCAACAAAAGTTATGTGCCATTTTTGACCCAAAAGTGTTGGCATTGCCAACACTTTTGGGCCAACTTGGCAACAACGAAAATGCTTGGGGATCCAGCCACAGGATCAAACAAGGATGGTGACGAAGAGGCTGGCCGGAAGTTGCGAAATAGATCTGATTCTAGATGCCAGGGAAACAAAAATGGTTGATTAGCTTAAAAATTGGCGCTGGGCGATCTTTCTTCCTGTATCGACGAGCTCTACTGCACTTCTGACTGCAGTAATAACATCTCGGAGCGACGAACGCACAGACATGGACGACATGTTGCTGGTCTGGCAACGGCTCAGTTCTAAAGAAGTAGGTAGACGGCTGAAACAGCGACAGCCGCCAACGCGGGGCCAATCCGGTCGGCAGCAGCGGAACTCTCAGTGATGGCAGAGTTGCCGGAGCTCTGTTGTTGCTGGACGGATTGATTGGGAGTGCCTTCCTTTTTGGGTTTTTCTGAAGGCTGCGGCAATGACGGACACGGAGTCTTGGAGCCTTTGTCTTTAGGCTGGGGCAATGAAGGGCACGGAGTCTTTCCGGTACTCGTCGAAGAGGAACCTTCTTCATCGTCGACTGAGGTGGGCGCGGGTGTTGCGGAAGACGACGAACCTGCAATTGGCAATTTCGGGCACGGGGTTTTAGCGTTTCCGCTGAAAGTCTCGTCATCTGACGGGCTGCTCGGCGCAGGAGTAACTTCATCTGTAGAGCTAGATTCTTCAGTCTCGCTCGTCTCATCGTCACCTGTCGGAGTAGTTGGCTCGGGGGTGGCTTCCGAGATGTCGGACGACGTTTGTGAACCTTCTTCAGTCAACCCTGTGGCAGCTGGGGTGGCTTGAGGTAGAGTTGGACACGGCGTCTTGGCCGTCGCCGTTTCCTTGCTCGTCGGTGTGGATGGCGTTTCCTCGCTTGTCGGAGTTGTCGGTGACACCGGCACCTCGGCAGCAGGTGGAGCCGGCGGCTCTTCCTCTGCGGTGGGCGCGGTCGGAGCAGGCGTCACTTCATCTGCAGGGGGTACTGGGGGTTCTTCTGCGGTGGGCGCGGTCGGAGCAGGCGTCACTTCATCTGCAGGGGGTACTGGGGGTTCCTCTGCGGTGGGCGTAATCGGAGCAGGAGTTACTTCATCTGCAGGGGGTTCTTCTGCGGTGGGCGCGGTCGGAGCAGGCGTCACTTCATCTGCAGGGGGTGCTGGTGGTTCCTCTGCGGTGGGCGTAATCGGAGTAGGAGTTACTTCATCTGCAGGGGGTTCTTCTGCGGTGGGCGCGATCGGAGCAGGCGTCACTTTACCTGCAGGGGGTTCTGGTGGGTCCTCTGTGGAGGGCGTAGTTGGAGCAGCCGGTGTAGCCTGCGGCAGTGTCGGACACGGAGTTTTTGCTGGCGCCGGTGTAGGTTCGGATTCCTGCGTGTTCGAGTCGTCGGTCGGAGCTGGAGTAACTTCCGTTTGCTGCACCGTCTCGGTGGAGGTGTCGTCCGAAAATGTCGGCGCTGGGGTCGCCTCGGTTTCGATACCTTTCTTCTTGGCAGTCACCGCGGTGTTCACCAACAACGTGTCGGCCTTGGTAGCTGTTTGCTCGGTTTGGTCCGTCGATTCTGTCTGCTGTACTGTTTGGGTGGCGTCTTCAGCGAATGTCGGCGCAGGGGTGTCTGCATCTGTTTCAAGTCCCTTCTTCTTCTTGGTCATTGCGGTGTTCTCCAGCGAAACGTCGGCAGGCTTAACAACTCCGACGGAGTCGCTTTCGCCAGCTACCTTGTCCTCAAACGTGAAGGCGGCCGAGGCCGAAATAGTAGCCGAGGCCACGGCCACGACCAGCGCCAGCTTCATCGGAGCACGCATGGCTCACTACTAATACTGCTTATTAATAAGAGGAGTACTTCCTCTCGTCGCCACCAAGCCAGCAGATCTGTGAATGTCCTGCTCCATGGGCACTGGTCGGAGCTGGGCACACAAACCGGATGGTGAAGGAGACAGTGTCTTCCGCTGATCACTGTAATGGGGAAAAACTACTTAGGTTTAGGGAGCTCGAGACACCCAAATTTAGAAATATGGCCATTTGATGTGCTCAAATGCATATTTTACACTCCGAGATGACAGTGATGATTACAGACCTGTTCTTCGCATAAGTGTCCCTCCTCGTCCACGGACCCTATCGTAGATTTAGCGAGCACTACAGTGGTCTTTCGTTCTTCCTTGTGATATTTTGTGTATCTTAGCAGTCTATGAGGGTATGCAACATTTGTTACGTAGTCGATGAGCACTTTGCATCATTGGAGTGGTCAGACCATTCTTCTATAGAGGTAAGTGGATGAACGGGATAATACTACCTAAATATCTACCAGTGCTGATGAAGGAATCACCATGACTAACACCTTTAGCCCTTAGACAAACACCTGCAAAAACAAAACCAAGGAAGCTCCAGATTTCCTACAGAGCTATAGGTATACAGAAACGAAGGCTATAGAAATGCTGGCTTCTTCCCACACGGTGCAGGAGATTCTAAGGCGCCACGCCGAAAATCTAAGAAGCGCTCTATTAAAGGTCCATGGCTACTTGTATTTCTTGCGAAACTCAACACTACACGATTAAGTTTCCACGCGTCAGCGTACGATTTGTTGGTAAATAATAGTTCGCATTCAAAAATGCCTACACTTGCTCAGTTGTCGCCTCATTTAGGGTGATCTCCACCGACTATTATAGCAAAGCTGAGACGTAATATGGCTTCGTGATAAATAACAATGCATCTCCGCTGTAATTCTGTGAGCGAGGCATACCGCATTCTCTTGGCCCAGCTCACGACATTGCAATTCTATGCTACAGGGCGAGCGAGACCTTTGGGTCATTTCTGGGGTAACATCAAATAGCCCTATTTCTTAATTTGGGTACCTCGAGCTACTAAGCTCGAGCTCCATTTATGTAGTTTTTCCCTGACGAGAGACGATACCGTAGTCGAATTTTAGCGTTGCAGGCGAAAGAACATGTACTTACCCGTACGGAAATGGTCTCACCCTAACCTAATAAAACTGTAGTCGATTTGGATACTGTACATACGAAGTACACATAAGTTTTATCGTCCATCGAAAAACAGCTCGTTGATTCAGCGACTATTCAACGACGTTGAATAATCTCCACCAGCAGCGCTGATAAAAAAAGTCGTGAGTAGTTCGTGCCTGAGCTCTACAGTGTACAATTTTTCGCTCCAACGTTGGCAATACATGTACTTGAACAAAATATTGCGAGCAAGTGTTGCCACCAACGTGTTTGCAACTCAAGTCGTTACGCCGCATCTAGGCACATGTAGAAAGGAAGGTTAAATTCTCACAGCTCAATGATACTTTATTAATAGTAAAGGTAGAGAATGGTCCTAATGTCTAAGCAATTTACAGTTAGGACCCTGAAAGAGCAGCATACTTTTTTTCGAAACATGATTGTCATTCAATAGGAAGTTTCGAGTGATGCGCGCGGTATTGAGGTGTTTACACTCACCAACTTGCTGGTTGAGGTTTTGCATATGAGGCACTTCATCGAAAGATGCATACCTCCATGCAACCACAAAGTCTACTACATTCTAAAATCGAGACAATATGTGTATAAACCCCAAACTACATTTCGAATTAATAATTACAAGCATGCAAAACACGTAGTTCGAAACCCATGTTGAACGAAAAGCATTAGTACATACATGTAAGTCAGTTACGCCTCGATGTCAAGCTGGTTGGTATCGCTGCCTCAGCAGCCCGCGTGCCATCGCAACTTAGCGTTTCGTTGCCAAAGCTCCGAAAACGAGCTCTGTACTTGTTCAAGGCCACTTAAGTGAATGACCACCCCGCATGGCAAGACAGATGAAGGCGAGGAAACGACGCTGACTGAGTTGAGATTCTGGAGCAAGAATCATGTGCTGCCGTGTTAGCACTGACGAGTCTTTAGGCTATGTCTGACGTGCATGTTTGCAAAACAAATCTTAAAATAAATTTTATTTCGCTCTTTTCGCGATACTTGTCCAGCTACAAGTTGGCCCGAAGTTCGGACTCCGAAGGTGAAGGGCTTTACAATGAAAAATGGCTATTATTAGTAGTTTAAAAGTGGCAATTTACACATTTTCTCAATCGCGTCCAAGACGGTCAAGAGACGTTCGAGTTTGCCGAGATGTGCAGGGACGGGACCAGCCCGAGGAGACGCGCAACTTGCTGCTCTTCGTACGAAGCTGATTCTAATTATTTAACCAGTGGTCAGTGACGCTCTGGTGCGTGGTGCGAGTGGCGGTGGGTCAAGTGCTGGCCGGTGACCAGAACTTGTTCCTATGTGATGAGATCTCCGCCCAGACGAACATTACGAATTAATAATAATCGTTTAGGCCCTGGTTCAGGTGGTGGAACGGATGCTGTGAGTAAGTGGGTTAGGGAAAGTTTGGAGACGTCTGCACTCGTCCTGACGATCGGTTCTATCCGTTCTACATCTTGTTCAAGTAAGGCTTAAGCTTGTCTCTCTCTCTCTACCAACCAATCTTTCAGTGTAGAGCTCAAAATTGCTCACTTGGCATTTTGATGGAAGACCAGAACACCGGCGCGCACAGCACTAAGGGGACTTCGGAGCCCTCGGCCGCGCGGTCAGGCACGCCACCCAAAAAGGTGAGAGCGGCCAAGCGTCTCAAGTGGTCAACGAGATGGTCGCAGAGCTCGTGCGTCTGCGCTTCGCAAACGGAGACGTAAAACGCCGACTTGAAGCGGCTCAGACCAAAACCCAGACTGCTCTAGCTTGGCAATACTTTGCAAGTGTGCTGTCGCAGTCTTTGGGAGTCGTTATCAACAGAGATCAGGTGATGCATCGCCATAACGTCGAATAGCTGGTGAGATTGCTAACAATTCGCTTAATTTGTACAGGTTTCACAAAAGTATCGGAAGTTAAAATGCATCTATCGCAAGGAGAAGAGAGAAGAAGGAAAGACCGGCAACTGTGCTCGTTCTCTGCGTGAAATTGACGACGGTCTGTGGAGTATTTTGCACGACGCCTTCTCTGGCAAGGTCGGCATAAGTGGTGAGGTGCTGCTGGACTCCCATCTCGATGGCGGGGAGAGCGACAGCTCTGTGGTGGACCACGATTCCGGTGATGCAGACAGACCTTCTGCAGACGCGCCTGGAAAAGGAAAATTGTCTCCAATTGAGAGTCTAGCTACATCAATGCGGAGCGGCATGGAAGCAATTGCAGCTTCGCTTTCAGCACGCACGTCGCCAGACGATGGATTGGGAAGCCTAGCCGCAACACTAGAACGGCACCACGAGGAAACTCGACGTTTTCAAGCTATTCAATTGCAGCTATTGCAACAACTTTTAGCGCGTAAAAATGCATAATACCGATCAACCATCCTGCTAATCCGAGTAAAATTGTTGGGTTAATCTACGACATGAATATGTCTGCTAGATCGTCTCTTTTAGTTTTTCCAAGTCTGTGCGAAAATGACTGCTCTGCAACAGAAAGACCTCCATCGTCGTCTCGGACTTGTAGTTCTGCACGGTGCGGATCCTCGCCATTTACTGCACAGCTGTCGTTCACAGCCAATAGCATGTTGTGCAGAACGATGCAGCTATATATCACTTTGCAAATGCGACCGGGTGTCTTCTGTTCTAGCTTGGCTAACAGAATCCTGAAGCACCGAGTAGCACTACGACTACAGCGACGGCTTCGGGGTCCATTTGAAAGGGTGACTTGCGTGAAATGAATGGTATATAAAAGCAAGGCCGCTCTAGCACAATTGTGCTCCACCCAGAACACCTCTGTTCGTTAGGTCTGATCTGCTGCGTGCCAGAACGCAACAGACCCAAATTGGTACACAGTACCCCTGCATTTTTGACCAATAGAAGAAGTTTTGGTTTTCAGTACAGAATGCATGCTTGTACCTGAACAAGGGCCTTATAAATGAAACCCGCCCCCTTTTTGATTTTTGTTGATACTTCGTACTAAAGGAATTTTTAGATATATTTTGTCGAGCCTGATCTCACAAAATTCTGTGACAGATGTGAAAATTCATAAATCGACCCCGATTGAGCACTAATCGAGTATTCCAAACGTGCAGGAGGGTGCAGATAAAATACTATTATCGACTTTATAAGCTGCGATGCAGATGAGGGGAAGATGCTCTTTGCAGGGGCGGCCAAAACGAGAAGTGATGAGGTTGTCGCCCCGCGCAGTTCGGGCAGTTGAGAGCGGAGCTCCCATAGACTGCCCTACTCTGCGTTTATATCATAGATTGTAGAGTAACATATCCTAACCTAAATCATATTCTAAAACACAGTAATACCTGTTACACTCACCCTTCCCCCAGAAGTCATCCGTTCAGGAATAGCCAGTCATTCGGAAATTTGCTCGGGTGAGCCAACACGATCCTGGTGGCATCTAAACGGCTCCAAAGTATCGATGCTTCGAACAACGCTAGATACGGGCGGAGCTGGTCCCTCCCTGAAGTTGCCACCGGTAAGAACCAAGGTCCAGCAAAGTTCCAACCAAGGGGTGCTTGTGCCGCCACTTCAGGGATGCGTGGCGGCCGTACTTGACTACGGCATCGTGTCTCACCTTCTCGCAGCTGCTAGCGTCCTCGATACACCCTCACTTGCGCCTGAAGATGATTGCCAGCTCGACGTACTCGGCGAGAGGAGCTCCACAACTTCCTGGGCTCCCAATCGCCCACGTCGCTGCTAACCGATGTATCGTTGGCGCCCAAGACGGCTGACTCAGCTCCTCACTGCGCCGCGCTACTCTCGCCGGCTGTCTCCGTTCGCTTTTCTTCGCTTCCGCCGTCGTCCGTTACTGCTCCGCTGTCCCCAAGTAACTCAGACTTGGATGAGCTGGTTGCTGAGACTGTGGTCTCGCCAGACTCGCCTGTGCGTTCAGCTCCTCTGGTGTCGCCTGCGGAGTCTTCTGCTGCTGCTACTACTGCTGGGCGCGATGAGACTCCCCCATGGTTTGCGGGCGCTGATCAAGATGAGTGGGAAGATCCCTACTCGGCTGTCAACTTGATATTAGCGGCTCAACATGCTACCGAGCGCCCGCCCTTGGCTGACCCCCCCCCCCAGAGTTCCACCCAAGATCACATGCGAAGAACCGTTATTACAAGACCAATGCCCCGTTCGACCCAGATCAGGTCTGGCAAGTGCGTCTTCTCATCGATCGCTATGGCGAGCTACCACACGTTACCTTCAGCTGACATGGGAGTGGCCTGAGAACTTGAAGGGCGTCTACTGGTGTATGAGCGAGGTGAACGCGTGGATTAACTCCTGTGTGCGTATCCCGTTTTACAAGTACTTCGATCGTCACTTCCGCGGAGCTGGGGTATCGGAGACGAGCTTGTGCTTTCTGTACTCGTTCCAAGCGGCTTGCTACGGTAGTGTACGATGCCGTTCTGAGAAAGAAGTTGAGCAGACTGAGCTGTCCGAGTCCATGTCCACTAGCGGGCTACGCGCAACTCGCTCAGACTTGGTCTTTGCCGATGACGGTGAGATGGTCTCCGTGGTCGTACGCACCGTGGTCGAGCTGACGGGAACTGCCTTAGTCTTGCTGCGTACGGAAGCCTTTCGCTTCCCTCCATCAGCTGTGCCCTTCCTCATCTTCTGCAAAGCTGTAGAAGTCTTATCAGTCCGCGATCGCTTGCCCGAATCCGACGTCTATACCGGGACCTTGCGCTTGCACGAAGAGACAGTCGAAGACACCGGACTCGGTGCCGCCGTCGATCGTGGTGCCGATTGCGCTTGCTCTACAGCAGATTGATCAGTCAATACCGGTCTCGTCGAAGCTGCCTTAGGAGCGCTCCGGAAGACTAAACGCGAACTCTCTAGGGGCTCGCCCGTAGGATCATCAGATGATAAATCTTTAGGCACTCTAAGCTCCGACAAGGCTACGTATTGCCGGCATAGTAGCTCCACTTGGTTCTTGACCCCCTTCATGTTAACACGGAGAGTCTTGATCGTAGCCCTGTGGTTGGCGTCCTCCGATTGCAGCGTATCCACGTCGGATGCTCGCTGATTCTCGGGTGCAACAATCATGTTACGCAGAATTACGACGTTTCGCCCGATTCGTTTATTTTCGTGGCCACTGCTGCCTCGAAGTCTTCTTGACGACTCTGCAGGCGCACGAGATTCTCCGTTGAATAGTTTCCGAGATCATCCTGGCGTTGTTGAAGAGCTCGGAGTTCCTGTTGTAGGCTTCGCATCTTGCTGACACCACCCGCTTCCTCTTCTTGTTGCTCATCATGTACTTTTTCCTGCTGATGAGTGACGCTGGCTTTTCCGTCGACGCTGGCCTCGCTATTTTGTAAGCGCCGCTCTTTAACCTCCTCGCTCGTCAAGTCTATCTCGTCTTGATCTTCTGTCGTCGATACCGCGAACCACCGCATGATGCGATCCTTCTCATCGCGAAGTCGTAGCTTGAAGCGCTCTTTGAAAACAGGAGCCCACCCTTGAGCCTTGACATAGTCCAAGCGAGTCTTGGGGTCGTCTCGAAGCAGCTCGTTCGCTCGCTTGCACAAAGCCTCGTTTGAAAGGCGCGCGTCTTGGTCGTAGACAAGCTCGTCGAGAGACTTGCTTTCAGCTTCAGCCATGGCGCTGAGCTCGTTGCGTAGCCTGGCTTCCATCATAGGGAACTTGCCTCCACCCTCACCCTTACATATAGACGGATTGACGATGGTCTTGATTGCAGATAGGCTTACATCCACACTCAACTTCTGCAGTACATAAGTCCTAGCCGCAGATAGCGTCATTTTTTGGTTTAGGCTGTACATGTCCTTCAGCTCCTGCTTCTTGCCCGCGGACAGCTTCACCATGATAAACGTAGGTAGTGTCGAACTAGCTGCCAAACGGAAAAGCAACTTGCATTTCCATCCTCTGATTAATAATATATCATTTATTACCATCTCGAGGTATATCCAAAAAAACTGCAGAGGCCAGACAGCGATAACGCAACCGCCCAGGACGCCAAGGACGCCCGTAAACGGCATCAACGCGCTTCGTCGGCACTCAGTCCTGAGGAAGATGACGAGTACAGTCGCCCACCGTCGACGTACTCAAGCATCGGAGACAGCCCGAAGACCGGCCAACCCTGTCGAATGTGTCTTGAAGTACAGTGAGTAGCTTCAACAGCAGTCATGGCCTGGGCGTGTTCTGTAGTGGGCCCCTCTATTACATAAGAAGGTAGATTTCTTAACATAAGTAGGTGCATCAGCACACGACTAGCGTGTGCTGAAATGCTGTCATGCCATTGGCTGTCATTAGTCAATTGGACTATGACGTGAAATTGAGTGGTCAGGGCTGTGGCCTTGGTCCTAAAATAAAGCCAGAGTTGATTTTTTCTTAGACCTAAGACTCAGTCGTCCTATTGCGAGCTTCCTCAACACCATAGTGAAAGTAGGTAACGACGGAGTAAATACCTGACCCGCTACACCCGGTAGCACTTCGTAGTCCTTCCAACGACCAAGTTCGACATGAGCCAAGACCTCGACCACGCTGATTTTCTCCATCTCACTCGGATCGAGTGAGAAGCTCTCCACCGCCTCGCGGCGGTGTCCAGAGAAGCCGTCGCCACGTCACTGCTGCACTCAGCAACGCCCGACAAGCAGCGCGTTGCGGCACAGTAATTCATGAAACCCGATCTCGCCGATGCGAATCGGCGAGTGTCAACTCCCTCGCGTATCTCCACGAATGACGTCGTGAAGCCAGAGACGTCCACCTACTCCGGTGCCGGAGAAGATCGCTGGTTTCGAGATACCGACTTCGCCATCACCTCGAGGTTGATCGAGGCGCCTTCCGCGAAGGTCCATTTCCTTCTCTCGCGGCTGTCTGGGAAAGCCAAGGAATGGGCTCTCGGCAAGTTGGTTGTCGATCCCGATGTGTTCCCCAATTTGGATACCCTCCAGAGTGACCTTCGGCTCGCGTTCGATCCGCCGCAAGATGAATTCCGAATTCGGGCAGACTTCTTCGCCCTTCGGCAAGGCACGATGACTATGCGCGACTACGTCCAGAAGCCATGACACTCCGCGTCGTGTATCGGGTCTAAGCCCATTGATATGGCCTCTCAGGTTAATGTAGTCGTGTTCGGTATGCGCCAAGGCATGACGCTCTACTGCCTTACAAGATCGGATCCCTCTACACTCGAAGAGGCATTTGCCCTCGCCCTACGCGAGGACTACGTGGTTGCGGCGTCATACGCTCACGCGCTACCTGCTTCAGCTCGGGATTCTGCGTCCAAGCCCATGGCCATCGACGCTATCGATGCGACGAGCAATCGCCAGCGTCATGTAGCGCGTCGGAGCGGTTCTCGGAACAGTCATTCTCTCACCTGCTTCCGCTGTCGGAAGGTCGGTCAT